AAAGCATCTCTTTGCTTAAATCTAAAGAGATTGACAAAATGATGATTTGTATGTCTACTTTGACCACAGACATATTTTTTACATTCCAGAAGATGTTCCATTTGTTGGATAAATAATTTCACTGCAACTTTACATGAAGGCGAAGAAAAGGAATATCAGGGGACAAATATAGGAGTAATAGGGTACATTTATGTCAGTTGGTTTTTCTTGCGACAAAGTAATGGTGATCCGCAGTGAGATGAACAGAGAGGGACAAGGCGATGCAAACTTGCACTGAGCCCTGAGTTTGAATTGTCGAGCCTGCCAGGGCTTACGCACGGACGATCTTGCCTTCACGCCACCAACCAGGACCAGCTTGCCGAGCACGTACCAGGAAGTAATCGTCGTCTCCTCTGAGACTGTCGACGGTCTATCTGACAACGAGCGCTTGAGCCCTCATCGATCATCGGTTCTCGCTTTCTATATCGGAGATGCGAAGACGACGACCCAAGCTGAAGGTCAACCTAGTTTTCTGTATGCCGCCTCCACTCTTTCTCTCAAACCATCATCATGCCCTCAATCCTCTCGATTGCAACTCGCGGCACCACCGTGCTGAGCACCCTCCGGCCTCGTCCTCGATTTGGGGGCTCGCTTCGCGCCACTCGTCCTTTGGGCTCGGGCGCGTCCTCTGATGGTACGCATACATGCACATTGCACGCATCCATGGGTTGACAGTGATTGGACTCGTTATTTCGATGCCCACCGTTGACTACGATCAGATCCCATGAAGCAGACGAAGAAAGCGACGCAGCTCAACTAATCCCGTCAACGCAGCGTCTCCTCAACTCAAGGAAAGGGCATACACAGACGCTACGGGGAATACGGAGGGCGTTGGGGTGGTCAATTAGGTTGGGAGCCAGAGCGCTACTGCAAATAAGATGGGAGCAAGGCTGGCGAAGTGGTACACCTCGTAAGCCGTGGAACCGTTAACTGGAAGATGCCAGGGTTGATGCTCTTTGAACGACAGATAGCGCACATATATTGTCCGTACTTGTATCAACAGTGTTTGCTCAAAAGCATCTCGCTCAACGTTTGTAGAAGCTGCTTTCAAACCGCAGTTACGGGGACAAACGGTGATCTAGGCAAAGAAATTCGTGGGGGCTTGGAAAGGGGCAGAGGCATATGCGGAAGGTGGCACCCACGGAGACCCATTTGAAGTCGGCGACGACTTCGATCTTTCGATCTATCTCCTTCCAACGCTTGGACGGAATTGGATTGATGTCGTCGACTTTGGAATCCGGAGGCTTAGGAACTCGTACTCGTACTCGGGAATTGGAGGATGGAATGGGAGCGAGGAAGGCGGGCTTTGGATTTAAACGCGCCACGAGTTTCCGTGAGTAGCACATCGAATCCTCGTCAATTCGACACTCTGACATGTCTGCTTTCATGATATATCATAGGCGGTGTTGCACGACGTGGTTCCAGGTGCATTCTCCGCGCAGATACCAGACAGACCTCTGGCTTGCAAATATATCTGAATTTTCATCCAGCGGGTCGAGTAATGGTTAGCGGATTTGAACATCTCATGCATTGCATCGTAGACATGGTGATTAGATGACATGATTTCTAGACACTGAATTGCCATGCTATGTAGATGTTCAGAATACAGTTTCGCTACTTTTTAAAGACATGCCATCCAACTACAGACACTACTCCAACGATGATCGCCGTGATCGTAATCACAGGCAATGTTCCGGCTGGCAACGGGTCCTCTGGCAGCGCTGAATCTGCGGAGTGATTTCCTTGAGCTCAAGAACTGCAGTATACTGGAAGGTAACTTACGGCCTATATGTATATTGTGATTTGCTCGACCGCCCACCACCCCACCACAGAATACCCCACTGTATTGATCTCCCATGTGGATATAGTAGACATGGATTTCGTTCGTTATGCGAGCTGTGTCCGGCTCAAACGACGACTCTGTGGCCAATGGTGCAGCCGAGGAAGCCGGCAATCGTCTGAGCTCTTCGTATTCACTAGTGCGGCGAGGGACTTGGGGGTAACGCGACCGTGAGTTACTGATGGGTGAAAGGGCAATGTACAATGCATCGACGGCTTCTAAGGTATCTGTAGCTGTAGCGGTCGTGGCCATGAGCAATGGAGGGAGTCAGTGCTATCACTATCACGAAGCTTGAGGGTAATCGTCGCTTAGACAAGGTATTTAAACTGCCACACAAGCCCCTTCCTTCTGAAGTTCTGTGTGTGCGCTGGGGCACCAGAAACCTTGATCTCGATAGAACTCGCTGGGATTCCCTGTGCAAAAAGGACACATGAGGGGGGGAAAGTACGATCCCCATGGTGCTATCGCTCATGTGGAACGTCAAGGGATTACTGATGAAAAAATTATTCTCCTAGAATGCTCTTACCGGACTTGCCGCGGCATGAGCCGCGGCACAATTTGCTTGGTTCTCTTGTGACCAGGGTATGGCGGTGCAAAGTGGAGGGCTGTGCCGTGCCGCGGTTCGAGCCGCGGCACGTTTGTCGCTTCATGGGAAAGCTGTTCAAAAAAATCAGTTTGACTGAGAGATTGAAGGGCTTCGATCAATGATAGTTTCCTCCACCATGCGAACAATAAGGCATAATTAATGACCGTGTCCTAAACAGAAACAGACAACCCCGAAAGGCTTTGATAGTTTATCATGTCTGCCCTTCGTTCATTCCCCATAGCTCTCACACTGCGACTGTCACCGCCGCCGGCTATCTCCCCCTTATGATCCTCAAACCGCTCTAAAAACTCCTGTCATGAAGAGTGGCATCTCCATAAGGATCTCTCCTACTCCTTGGAGAGAGCTGTCCCAACAACGAGGACTAGTTGCTGTTGCATGTCGAAGATATGACGTGTCTTGCGTGACAAGACGCCTAGAATGACTGCAGAGGTTGTTGAAGCCGTTCACCTTGGCTGCCTCAGAAGTCGATGTTTGCACCTCAGTAGCAACCGTCGTCGTGTCTGTGTTTCCGGTGTATCCCCGCTCGGGGACGAGTACACTACGATATGGGAGTATGCACCGACGGCCGTATACGACTGCGCTCATTCGATGGCGGTGGTGCTGCTGCGTGCTGGAGTCCAGATGCCAGTAACTGGCGAGTCAGGTTCAGGTTCAGGCTCAGGTTCAGCGATACATGCAGTACAGGTTACGGACCTGGGATCGAAGGGTCGTGGCGACTACTATACTCTGCCGCCTCCGCGAACCCGCGAACCCGTGAGGCTGAGACTGATAGAAACTGGCGCGGCGGATGGTGGAGAATTCGGTGTTGGTGAGCACGTTGACTTTTGACTCTTGAGTAATTGAGTAATTGAATTAGATCACCACCGTATACCCGGACTGACGGAATCTGGGTTTGGTCCATCCCGTGCGCCGGATTGGACTTACGGACGATGCAGCGATGCAGCGGGCCGGTCGTCTCGTTTGCGCAAACGCAGAGCATGTTGATGCGGAGTGTTCCTCGTCTACGCCGGATGTTGGGGGCAGATTGACAATTAATCATCCCGCTAATTCAAGACAAGATCGTCAGTGTGTATGTGTGGTACGCACCTTGTCATGGAACTCTCCTCGCTCCCGGTCCGCCAGGTGAGGCCTGTCCGCTCTGCGGCGCAGGGGCAGACGACTGTGATTGCAGGACACGGGGTGCTTCGCCCCATCGCGCGCGCGTTCGTGTCGTGGCCGCGAGCGCTCGCAAATGGCTGCGAAACGATCATCTGCCGCGGTTACACCGCCGCACGCCTCGAGGGTATAGCCAATTGAGAATGAGATGGCCAATTGAGAATGAGGTGGCATGCCCGGAGCCCGTAGGCAGTGAGAATCCCGGTTGTTAGGAGACGAAGACGAGAGGTGCAGTAAGACATGCGGAGCATTTGGCGAAGAACCAATGTAAAATATAAAACATAAAATATACAGAACCAGAATGGAGTCTGCAACTGGAACTGTTCTGGAACGACGCCGTCGAGTGGAGCGACGAGATTGAGCCTGCTGGGCTAGGGGTAGCTCTTTGCTTGACGCTTGAGCTTGGGGAGTACGCTGCTATGATGTGGTGCATAGCCTGGCCAAGATAAGATAAGATAACCAAAAAAAACGAACAGACGCTCGCCCATCAACTGTTTCAACCATAACGTCGATGTCCTCTCGTAATACTCTCCTACCGCAGCGACTACTCGGTTTCCCCGATCTCACGCAAGCTGAGAAGTCTTCGCCGACCCTTCAGCATCAGCATCAGCAAAGTCGTCCTACACACGGCTGGAACTCGGAGCGCAAGACCAATGATACAAGCAAGCACATAAGTCGGGTTGCCAGAGTACGCACCGATGCACGCGCGGTATTTGGACGATATATGTTGTATGCGGGGCCAAGTAGGGCGTCAGGCGCGTCAAGCTCACGCTTGGTTTGGTCGCAGCCCTGGTGAGCGTTGACTTGCTGCGTCTCTGCCCTCTGCTTAGACACGTACTTTGATGCGCGAAATCCAAGCGGTTTATCCTGCGAACCTTTCCTCCTCAGGCCTCAGGCGCGAAGAAGTCACTCGCAGCACCGTTTTGGACGTCGTGGGCGTACGTGCTCACCAGATGCGAGAATGCCTCGAACGCCATGCGATACGGCTATATTCTACCTCGCAGCGCAGCGGGCTCGTGGAAGGCTGCCGATGGTTGACTCGATGGCCAGCTGGGTGAATAGTGTTGTTGGAGAACGTGTCACTTACCGAAAGGTGCTCGATAACCTCTTACGAATGGGTACCCACGCTGATACCATACAGAGGCTTCCATCGTCGCTCTAACTCGCTCACCATACCTTCAAAGCTTCAAGCTTCAAGCCGCTTGGAGGGTGGGCGCAAACAAACCCGATTGCCCCTATTCAGCCCACGATCGAGTCTCGATCAGTGCAGTGCTTTCCCCCGCTCTTGTGTTCGTATACGCACTAGCACTCTCTATCCACACGCCTCTCAGCTGGTATCTGAGACCCGCCTAATCCACAATGGCGTCCTCCACATCTCCAAACGATCCGGACCACGACGCCTTCCCCGACACACGCTACGCCCTAGCGGATTCATACGCACATCCATACGATGGGATACAGCGCAGAAAACGCGCGACGCGCCTCGTCGTAACCCCCGGCGGGTTTCTTCGGCATCAACTAGCACCACCAAGCCACGCATCTCCGCCCTTCGGTGCTCTTTTAGCAGCTGGCGCTAGCGGAGACGAGGACGTTTCTCCTGCGGGGGGGCCGCCTGATAGCAGCGCCGACTTCCGCTCGGGGCCCCAGGAGCTCTTCAGCAGCCTGCCCGCCGCGAACGACCTGCATATAGCTGGTATCGCCCACGAGGAGAACGCCGCATCGCCGCCTTTGCGCTTCGAGACGCCCGAGCCGTTCTTGGGCGACCACGACGACCCTAACGCACCGTTCCGCCCAGCGGCGCCGCCTTCCGTGCATAACCACCAAGCGCACGACAGCGACAATAATGATAAGGATAACGATGCGGCCAGCCCGCCAGACGTGAAGGTGATCCTCTCTAGCGAGACGCCCGCTCCCTCCCCTTTTGTGCAGGGCACGCAGAGGCGGGCGACTTCGTCCCCCGCGTGCACGTCCACCCCGCCTGCATACACGATCCACCCCACCCTCATCTCAACCTCATCCCCAGCCCCGCTCCCCTCCTCCTCCCCCTCTACACTCCCAACGAACCCACCACCCTCCCTCCCCCTCCAATCCTCGCTCTCGCTCCTCCCTACAGCCGTCGTCGCCAACACCACGTCCACCGGCGCGCCGCTCGCGGGCGCGGGCGCGGGCACCGCTCTGCCCATGGCCTTCGGCGCGCTGCACACCGTCCCGTTCTACGTCTCGGTCGTCTTCGGGTCGATCGCCGCCGCCGCGCTGCTCGCGGCGCTCGTCGCGTGGGCGTTCCGCTTCCGCTCTGCTGCGCGGGTGAGGCGCGAGGAGCGGATATTTGGGTTCCCGGGCACAGGGAATGCGGGGGGTGGTGGTGGTGGAGATGGAGGGGATGGAGGGGGGTGGGCGGCGTGGTGGAGCCGCCCGTTCATGGATCGCGTGGCGAGCGGGCGGGAGTCGCTCGCGACGATCGAGACGAGCTCTGTGGCGGATGCTAGTTATGTCAGTGCGCGACCCCAACCCATTGTGGGACCTCCAATCTCTGGTGTTGGGAGTGTTGGAGTTGCTGGTGTGGGTGGTGTAGGCGGCGGTGGTGTTAGTGCTGGAAGTGGGAATGTTGGTGGAGGTGGTGGAGGTGGTGCGGTGCCTGCGGGTGTGTGGAGGGAATGGGAGCAGGCGACGGGTATGTCGTTCGGGAGGGCGATGGGCGTGGGCGTGGGGTCGGGGACGGACGTGGGGATGGCTACGGGGATGGGGGTGGGGACGGGGATGGGGATGCATAGGACGGTGTCGTCGAAGCGCCGCCATCAGGCTCGCGCCGCTAATGCTGCGAATACTGGAGAATTTAAAGGTGATGGGGATGGTGGGGAGTTTGGTGGGGAGTTTGGTGGGGTAAGGAAAGTTGGAGGATTTTACGTGCACCCGCCCCCGCAGATGTATGACGCGCCGACGGTGCCGCTCGAGAACCCGTTCGCGCCCGCGCCCGCGCACACTAATCCTTATCATTATCCTTATCCTTCTAGCGCCAGCACGAGTGAATCGGCACCAGCACTACCACTACCATTAGCACCACAACTAGCATTAGCACGATCAAGCTCGCGCACACGAGGGAGCGAAAGGACAGGAGAGCGCGGTGCGGGAGAGCGCGGTGCGGGAGAGCGCGGTGCGGGAAGGGGGCGCGTCGGGCTGCCGAGGATGGACAGCCTGGGGTCTGGGGTTGGGCTTGGGCTCGGGCTCGAGTTTAGCGGGAGCTCCGATCTGGATTATCTGCCGAGCTCCGAAGGGGACATGGGTGGTGTGGGGTGTGTGGGAGGTATGGGTGGTATGGGGAGCATGTTGCGGGTGACGAACCGCGCGGCGGGCGACGGGATGTCGGTGCGCAGCGCGTCGGCGTCGCGGGCGAATACTGCTATGGGGATGCGTGAGGATGGGGATGCGGATGAGGATGAGGATGAGTTTTCGCCTACGCCGTCCACTTCCACTTCTGCGTTCACTGTAAGGCCTGCATCCACCGCAAGGCCTGCGGGGAGCGACGCGGGCAAGACCCCGACCGCGGGCCCGCTGCCGTCCTTCCCGTCGTTCCCGGCGGTGCTGCATGCGATAAAGACGACGTTTGGCGCGGCGTTTAGCCCGAGCGTAAGTCAGGGGCGGGGTGAGGCGCAGCGGGGAGAGGAGGAGGAGGAGGAGGATAGGTACACGCGGGCGCCGGAGCGGTGTGGGGTTAAGAAAACGAGAAAATGGGCGCAAATGGGTGTAGATGCGCCGGTGGAAGAGAGGGAGGGGGAGGGGGAGGGGGAGAAGGAGAAGGAGGGGGAGATGGCGGAGAGGGAGATGGTGGAGAGGGAGGGGACGCAGCCGCTTTCGGTATCGAAGAAGCACTCGCGGCGGTACCCCTCTGCTGCTGGCCCCTCATCGAACAGCGCGAAGGCGAAGGCGAAAAGGCTGTCGCTGATGCGCGGTGTGTCTGCGCGGCGCGTGGGGGAGGCGTTTGGTGTTGGGCTGTCGAAGAGGGGGAGGGGTATGCGGAGGCTCGGGAGCTCTGCTAGTCGCATGAGTCGGGGCGGGGGGAGCCGGCTGGGCGCCAGGTCCAGCACGAGAGGGAGTGGGGAGAGGGGGAATGGGGAGAGGGGGAATGGTGGGTGGGAGGACTTGGATGCGCGTTCGGATTATGGGTTCGATGCCGATGGGGACAACGACAACGATTACGGTGGAGATGGCGATGATGATGATGTCGATGATGATGATGATGATGAGGAGGAGGAGGAGGATGGGGGCCGCCCGCGGTTCCTAAGCCGGCCGTCTGCGGCGTCGTTCCTGTCGTTCATCTCGAGCGTGTCCGGCGTGTCTGCGTTCTCGGTGAATTCGGTGGACTCGGTGAATTCGAGCCGGGAGGAGCTGATGAGATGACGGAGCGGGAGGCTGGGGCGCGGGGTGCGCGGGGTGCGCTGGCTGCGCGGAGGACGTGAGGGGCGTGAGGGGCGTGTGCGTGAGGGGCGTGTGAGGGGCGTGTGAGGGACGCTTGGGGATTGGAGACGGGATACGGGATACGGGGTGTGTAGGGTTTATACAGGGTGTTTTTTTAATTTGGAAATTATTCGTGTGCGTTTGGGTATGCTGGAGCTACTGTGCTGGGGAGGGTTCTGTGAGTGCGGGTCTGAGGCTGAGATGAGAGGGAGCTGTGCGGGAGCGAGAATGCGGGTGAGAGTGAAGTACGTGTTGATGTTGGTTGATTGAGGGGATGCGCTGCGCGGGAGATTGATATTGATGGATAGTCCCATAGGGGGTGGACATACGATGCGGATGCGGTATGGATAAGGTGGTGATACGAATGTTATGTTTGACGTTCGAAGCTCGAAGCGTAGAGGGCTAAAAAGATTGTGAATACACACTTGAACTGAATTTCCTCGTAGCCGATTTGAACGACTGACCTCCTCATTATGTATATGTATTTAGTTCGCCGAACTAAGCATACTAGTGAGGCGCTCTACCAACTGAGCCAACGAGGACGGTGCTTGACATTCGCAGCGTATTGTTATACCTAGGGTCCGTCATCGATCGATTTGTGTGGATAGGCGATTATGCATTATGATCAAACTTTAACTTGAAACCTAAAAAGCGCGAGGGGCTTCGTCAGTGTCTACGCCACCTCATCCGCTCGCCTCCGAGTAACACGTCGTCATCGTCATCGTTCGATCACCCACTTTCTGGACCCGGGCATCTCAGCAGTCTCAGTCATGCGAATGCGAGCGCTGCGCAGCGCTCGCTACTACCATGGTACTTATCACAGCGACGATAAAGTCGCGAAAACTCCTGCCCCAACACGATTCGTTGGAGAGCAGAATCAGAGTACTAGGATCTAGGATTGCAGGAGACGACGAGTTGGGGAGGATGAGTGATATCGAGATCGAGGATCGGGTGACTGGGGAGAGCCGTACGTCCTTCCTCTGTCCTCGCTTTTCTGCGGCTGCACATTTTACCGCCAGCGATGAAGAGCACCACGCTATACTTGGCCGCACTGTCGAGGTGGTGGCCCCTCTGCCGAATCTCGACCATCCGCGCTCCTGCTGGAGTAGGGACGTCCGCGATATCCACGACATCCACACCCGCTCGCCTGAAATCCCACAGCTCGCGTGTAGGGCTGGATTCGAAATGAGGCTCGCTTGCGCGTATTTGATGGTTTCGACTGCCCCAACATATCTGAGGCTATCGCACACCCAATCCATACCCCCGACGAACACCTCGGACCTTCCTCGCCGTGCGCAGTGTCTTCATCCCGTCCCGTCCCATCCCATCACACCACATCACATCGCATCGCATCGCACATCAGCAAGCTGTTCCCACTACTCTACCCATATAAGTACTCAGTCCTCAGTGCGCGGCTCACGCAGGCGCTCGAAGTCGCTGAGATATCCGATATCATCTCCCATCCATGATCCATGACGCATGATCCATGATGTACGAGCCCGCAGCAAGGTATCGCCGCGGCCGCTCAAGTCCAAATCTCCAAGCCAAGCCTCAACGCGCTAGCTCGCAGATACATACACGGCTCGTTGATGAAGGTGGATAGACACGATCAGAGGATACATAGAAGACGAGGGTACCGGGGTAGGGATTGGATTGAAGGGGACGAGATGCTGATTGCTGGATTGATCAACTTGGTGCAGAATGCCTCGACTTGGTGCTGAATGCATCGACACGCTGGATGGATCGAGTCTTCGCGAAGACCACCGAACGTCCCCCCTCTATCCCCAGATTCCCCAGATTCCCCACTCCCATACGACCCCCCGCCGTCGCCTTCCGTTCCCGTTTCCGTTTCCGTTTCCGAGCCCTAAGTTTCCGCAGTTTTCGTTTTGCGGTTTTTTGTATTTCGGATTTTGGTTTAGTGAGTTTCGAGTTGTTCGCAATTTTGGTTCGCAGATTTGGACCTCGAGCTCGAGCTCGGGTTTTGCGATTTGTGTTCTGCGGTGCGCGTATGTGCACAGGCAGGCACACAGGCGGACAAATGAAATATTCCACGCGGCAGCTCCCATTACCCATTACCCACTACCCATCACTCGCACTCGCACTCGCCGAGTTGAGTTGAGTAGCTGCTCGCGGCGTTGGCCGTGTTTCCAGCTCCACATTCAAGCTCTCGAGCTTCAAGCTTCAAGACTCAAGACGCAAGTACTCAAGTAGGTAAGTAGTCAAGAATCAAGACTCAAGTACTCAAGTAGTCAAAACTCGAGACTCAAGTACTCAAGTACTCAAGTACTCGTGACTCGGAATTCCAAGTACTCAAGTACCCAAATATCACTCAAACAGCGCTTAAGTAGGTATCTAATTCCTCGAGTACGTCTTGGGTATTATGGTGTTGGGTGTTGGGTATTGGGTATCGAGGCTCCTGCCGTCCTCGCGTCGGCCTGCGCGTCGACCACGCGTCCATGGTGTCTTTCAAGCCCAAAGCTTCAAGCTTCGCATCTTGAAGCCTGACAAGCGGCAGATCGTCACGTAAGTGCTCGATCGTGTATCCCGCCGATACGCCCTCCTCGACCTCTCCTCGCCGTCTCACCGCCCCACCGCCCGCCGCCCCATCCCCTTTCATCCACGCCATCTCACCCCCCCATCCCCGTCTTGCCACCTTCATCCATGCCTTCATCCCCGTCCCCGCATTCGTCCCCGCCCATATCTACCCAGACTCACGCCTCGTGCCTCATATCCCGAAGAAAAGCAAGAGCCCAAACATGTATATACACATATACGCATATAAATACCGGAATCTCGAAGCCAGCGAGTACGCGTACGCGGGTACTGCGCTCGCCGCTCTACGGTCCGTGCGCGTGCAGCCGCTTCCCCTCCACATTGCATTCAATATTCGATATTCGATATTTGCGAGGCCGAGGGCCCTAGCGAGTAGGCGTAGCATGGACGCCACCTCTAATTCCAATATCAGTCCCTGCGTTCTATATTTGCCCGCTGGAGCGGCTTAGGCGCCTTACTCATTACTCCTCCTTACTCCCCACACCACACCGCCCGCCGCATAGCCGTTCCCTGCGTGCACCCCATCTCCCCATCTCTCTACGCACCGCGATAGGAATAACGCGCGAAAATGGCACACCGGAAGGACTCGTGTGAGAGCGGTCTCGCGTCAGAATGGAAAGAATGGGAAGAGGAGGAAGAGTAGGAGCTGGCGATCTGGCCGTCGCGCGTCGCGGCTCGCCTGCTCTGCACGAAGAGCATCTCCCATCTCCCACCGTTCACCGTTCACCGCTCAACGCCCACGCCGAACACGTCGGAAACGCGAAATCGCATAAATCGCCGCGGCGCAGACGCAGACGGACGCTGCTCAAGTACTCGCGCGAACAGATGCACCTTCGTGCCGTATTTGTGCCGCATGTAACTTGTATATGCGTATGCGTGGAGGTTTTTGGGGCACTGAAAGCCATCCTACTGCACATGAGACTCGGCTACAGCCATCCGAGATCGTCGTAGCTGCGTCATGGCCATGCTCCGGGCACAAAGGCAATCGTGGGGCAAGGTTACACGCCGCGGGGTGACCGTGTAGTGTTACGCATATGCATGTGGTTGGCGATGTTCAGATATCAATACAGGATTCAATATTTACACTGCAGCTAGTCATGCCGATAAATGAAGCGCGGGGGACCAAAGGAGGTCAAGGTTTTTTTTTCAGAGTTAGTGGGAAGCAGTCGTATTACCGGAGATACGACCTTTCTCTTGTGCCCGATGCTGTCGATGGGATGCAATTAGCACACGGCGGAAGGTGCCCCATGAACTACAAATATTACCCTGAGCTTTGCAAATGGATTACGGGTCTGTGTGCGAGGCTGTCGATGGAATGCAATCAACACACGACAGAACGTAGATTGACAAATATTACCTCGTGCGTCGACGATGAATTTCGGGGTTGAGTATCATTCCCCTTTGTGAAACACTATCGATGGGATGTAATTAACGCACGACGGAATGTGGTGCCCCATGAGCTACAATTATTACCTTAAATGGATTGGGGGTTTGTGATGCATACTTGCGAGCCTGGTCTTCGACGTCCGAGAGGAATGTCATCACATCGAGCCGTAGAGCATTGCGATTGCGACGGATAATCTCCTTGGCTTTCGCAGCGCATCCAACTATTTTCAAGAAACCTTCGACTTGTTCTCGTCCGAGAAGAATACGGCTCTGGGGGAGCTCTGAGAGAACCTTGGCTATATCCATGGAGATATTCACATTGATCTCCTGATTGCCGTGGATATGGTTGAACATGCCACGCCCTTGATTGTGATTGTGGTATTGCACGGGGGTGGCGGCGCTGTGAGGGTGTGCAGTATTGTCGGTCGCGAGGTCGCCGCCAATGCTTGCCAGCGAGCCTGGGTGAAGCACGAAACTAAGCCACAGGTAATTAGGGCGTGCTGGAGACTAACCTTGAGATTGATCACCCAGCTGCGTGGGTGGTGATGGCGAGAGGTTAGAAGCGTAGCTCATAGTCAAGTACAATGCCGGTGGTGTTAGTAGTGGTGGTACGCAAGGAAGAGTTGGATGGAGGGGCTGGTCGAGCATTGCTACATCGTGTAGAAGGCATGGCTTTGAATCTCACGCCAGGCGTCAGAAGAACAGGTGCAGTGATGAGGAGCGCTATGAGGTTAGCGTCAAAGCACTGTCAGTATATGGTTACTTGCATGTTGTCTAGATGGGATCATGGATGACGGGCTGGGGGATACGTAGTTTTAGGTGCTGAACATGTTCACGTCCACGATGTCTGCAAGTCGTTTGAAGCTCAACCACGAGAAGCAAGCAGCGATATTCAAACACAAAAGATGAAGGCACGGAGAATGAGAAAAGAATAATAGATCACGCTGCCTGGAGGCAAATTGATACAGGACGACGCCAGACGCCGGCCTATAACTGAGAGGTTAGAAGTTGTACGCCTTTACGAGGCTATATCAGCGACTCACTGCAGATTGGGTTCAACCGTTGAGTCTGCCAACAGAGGATTGTCCAAAGCCATGTCGCGACAAACACCTCGAGCGGACGTTCGTAGGAGAAAGGCCAATTCAACTTCCACACTGTTTTCCTTTCCTCGAGAATTCGGATATAGGTGCCGAACCGTCAAACATCAAATAGGACTCACGTTGACGCAAGTTCAGGACACATATATGCCCGATCTGCGTCCAAACGCGTTCATTGAGCTGAGGAGACATCGCATCCGTAAGTTTCTGTCCCGCTTTCCTCGTTCCTGTTAGAGGGTCTGACAGCGAGATGCGTTAAGATATGGTTGCCTAGTGATACACGGATGTACATGTCTCGTCAGACGACGCCCCAAAGCCGTCTTTGCTGGCAAATGATGCCTAGACTTGAACGGGAGGGATGGCCGAAAGGCCGGAGTGGCGAAGCAGCCATATTAGGGACATCCTGATGATTTGAGAAAAGTGGGGTGCAGCATGATGTAGCCGAGCCACTGAAAATCGACTTGAACCTTGAACCGACGTAATTTGAAGGGTGAGAGGGTAGTGTAACAAGACTCTGTCTGGGCTCAGACACTGCTAGCCAGCTCTAGGATCCAACAGCTTCCGTGAACCTATTACTTCCCAGTGCGTAGACGGCCCGATATCCTAAGAGATACTATCACCGTGCATCGTGCAAGGTTGATGTAGTCATCGCAGCACGGAAGGGGGACGATAGCTAGCCGTCTAGCCGTCTAAGGACTGTGCTGCGTACAGAATTCCAGCGCCACCTGATCACGCCGAACGAGGCCTTCAGTGCGGCAACATAGTGGCGGCCAGCGATGAGTAGCAAATATACGCAACAATAGACCATGGAGAACGCCATTTCATCAGGTCGAAAAAATGTGCATGAAGGTGATACAAGTACAGGCAACATATGTGCGCTATCTGTAGTTAAAAAAGCGTCAACCCTGGCATCTTCCAGTTAACGGTTCCACGACTTACGAGGTGTATCACTTCGCCGGCCTTGCTCCCATCTTATTTGCAGTAGCGCTCTGGCTCCCAACCTGGTCAACCATCCCAACGCCCTCCTTATTCCCCGTAGCGTCCGTGTATGCCCTTTCCTTGAGTTGAGGAGATGCCGCGTCGACGGGATTAGTTGAGTGCTTGCGCGCGTCCTGCGTCGCTTTCTTCGTCTGCTTCAGGGGATCTGATTGTAGTCAACGGTGGGCATCGAAATAACGAGTCCAATCACTGTCAACCCATGGATATGTGCAATGTGCATGTATGCGTACCATCAGAGGACGCGCCCGAGCCAAAAGGACGAGTGGCGCGAAGTAAACCTGCAAATCGAGGTCGAGGCAGGAGGGTGCCCAGCATAGGGGTGCCGCGAGTTGGAATCGAGAGGATCGAGGGCATGGTGATGGTTTGAGAGAAAGAGGGGAGGCGGCATACAGAAAACTAGGATGACCTTGAACTTGGGCCGACGTCTTTACATCTCCGATACAGAAAGCTATGACCGATGCGCGCTCAAGCGCTCATTGTCAGATAGATCGTCGACAGTCTGAGAGGAGACGACGATTACTTCCTGGAACGTGCTCGGCAAGCTGGTCATGGTTGGTGTCGTGAAGACAAGATGGTCCGTGCGTAGCCCCTGGCATGGTAGAAGATTCAAACTCAGCACTCAGCGCCAGTTCCATCCGGCTCGCCTTGTCCCTCTCTCTGTTCATCTCATGATCGCGTTCGCCGATAATGAACGTAGGTTAGCTTTTGAAATTTGACGAACTGCGAGATAAATTTCTCTCGTCGCGATTACCCCCCAAGCGTTGCGATCCGGGAGCCGTCTAACGAGTGTTGTTGATATTCAGAGCGATGCACTCGTTGGTGGCACGGAGGTGTGTTGACTCTCGGTGCGATTGCGGGAAATCATCAGCAGCTAATTACCTCTTTGTTTACTCAGATAAATCTCCGCTCATCCAGTCTCCTCACGACAACTACGAGAATATGATGTCTATCTTGTAGGCGGTCCTATGGGGCAACTCATGACGAGCGAGCTCCTTCCTGGGACTTCGTCGGTAGACCTTGGACGCCTGCAGATGAGCATCGTCACATCGTAAACTCCAAGATACAGAAGACACGCCGAGCCTCTCACAGTAAGAGGACATTTTATCGTTGACACACGAGGCGATACTAACCTGGCATCGTGGACGAAGGATAGCACCATGCTGGAATCCACGTGGAACACTTCGTCTCTCTGCTGTATGTAAGCTTTCGTGAAAGTCTCGAATAGCGATGCTGACGGTTTTGTGTGCTGCGCAAATCCTATTCGAAGGCGGTGCGTACCATGATCATTACGAGCACTTGTCTGGCAGCGGGGCCGCCTCCTCGTGTAACTCTCAGTATCACTAGTGTATCGTTTCTCACATAGAATAAGACGTCTCTTTTCAGCCCGAAGCTCGGTGTGGTGTTGACGTGTCCATATTTTGATCAGAATCGGCCGATTGACCACAAGCTGAAGATATAGCCCCTTAACGGGGTCACGGAACAGATTCCAAGCAGTATCTCAAAATCGCGGAAGAGTGGGGATCCCAGCGAGATCCCGAACTGGTTAGAGCCTGTATGCAGGAGCGGCGATCAGCGTCGCTGATCAGACGAGATCTCGGCCGGAATACCCCACGAAGACCAGAGGTGTCGCTGGGTTCCGATCACTGGCTTCGTACTGGGACGTATCCACTGAGATCGTCGATCTATCTTAGTTTCTCGCACCCGACGGACGTTTGCAGCTTGCGATGGATTGATAACATTTGGGTAGATGGTATTGTGATCTAAAGAAGTGAGCGTGAAGGCGCGTAGGCGCGTAGTCCGTGTTCTCTCTCCTTCTCTCCCTTTTCAAGTTTTCCTTTATCGCTTCTGACTTCTCCCCCTAGGTCCACCGCCTACCCCCTTATGTCAATGCCTGTGCACGTCAATGGCGGACCCTTGAGCGCTTTAAACCTCTACTTTCAAGAATCGTCGGTATCGTACATCACTTCCGGCCCAGACACTTTGGGTGTGATGCTGCTTGGGCACTGTGAGCGGCTAGTAGGGTCATATGTTTGAAAAGACTCGCGATCGCCGTGTTTAGTAAGCCTCCACGGCGCCATAAACGAAAATGACAGACATCGGTGATGGTATAGTGGTGATACAAGTGTTGATGCTCGAGTAGTTGAGTTGAGATTCGTATTTTTGTGTTTTTCTGGGACTTCCTGCGTTGATGCATCTCGTTGATGTACTTTTTATGGGTTCGGGAGTCAAGATCCAAGAAATGTGGTTCGTTGGAACGTCTAGTTCGTCGTCTGCATTATTAGGAATTTAGTTAGCCTCAGTTTGGCACTTGGTATCCGTCACAGTCAGACGTACGGCAACGACGAAAAAGAAGCGCAGCAGTAGCATCCACCATCCGCGATGATGTTCTTCGTGGCCTTCTCCACCTTCAATTTGTTGTTGGCCTTGTTGTGGGACTACGTGATGACCAGGTCTAGGATATTCGGCGCCCTAGGAAGTCGTGAGTAGTGAGTACGAAGTTGACGAACAGGACGCGATCACCGAGTCCTCCAACGACAGGGTGACTCGTACCTGACGCTGTAGAGGATCGACAACGACATCGACATCCATCATGGTGTCAAAGTCTCCGTTTACATCGTTGAATCCCTTTTTCATTCGGTACAACGACAAGAGTCATAGTCAGCGCCGAGTCCCGACTACGAACAACCGCAAAACAAAGCTATTTCTTACCATGAGAGCAGAACTATTGCTGTAGCCACGAGCACTCCCAGCAGAAGTTGACCTCCGTGCCAATTGAGGGGAGCTTTGATACGGGCGGGATCGTCGTTGGCGACGGTTTTTTGGAGAGCGGTCTGCGGGCATCTTGCCGATGGGATGGCAAGACGTTGGGAGAGTGGATGAGGCTGCGTAAGAGGGCGGTAGCGAGCGGTTTGCTGCGAGTTTGGATCAAATACGGTGCCAGTAGGCTGCCATAACATTATTTTTTTGTTTAGGAGGACCCCAGAATATGCTACACGGCCAAAATCTGCAGCACTTATTTACTGATCTGCCACGTATCTTTCAGTGGTCCTAGCGCGCCGCAGGCGAAAGTTGGTACAAAGTGACTGCCAAACGGACGAAGATTTGCGGACTGTTTCTATACCATTTCCCCCGCTCAAAATAATGACAATCGATAGGAGCACCTGGGAGAAAGGTCGCTCCTGTTATCTATGATTATCTGCGGGCTCTCTCATAACTTTTTAACGTTTTTACGGTACTGAGGGACAACTTCAGGGGGTTCAATTAGGAGCTTGGGAGGCGCCTCAAATTCCTGGACCCACAACCTGTCACACGCCACATCTTTATCTCTTTCTCCAAAATGCAACAACTGGTTCCTGATATTCCTGGACTCCGTCCGCACTGGTCAAGGACGGCAATATGCTACATAGCTTCGTCGTAGCCAGGCTCCTTCCGCACCTGCCTGAATGGACTCCAGCTGGACGGAAAGTCGCATCCTCGATCGTCACCAAGCCGTTTCTCGCCCTCCACCTCCGGGATACTGATCCAAACTTTGTACGGGTGCCGAATCTCTTCGTGATCACCCGCGAGAGGCCCCATCTACCGTGGAGCGAATATTTCGTGCTCGATTCGCTTTCGGAGGCAAGGGCGTGTGCGCGCACCTTGAACGTCGTGCCCCCGCTCCCGTTCAGAGGGCCTTTGTATCTCTCCGTCACGCCTAGAATTTGCGCTACATTTGACGGAGTTGGGGATGAATCCGTTCAACTGCTCAAGAACGTGGACTATCAGCTAGACAGGACCAGCTTTGAAACGTTCATCCAGGGGTGGCAAGATGCCGGACCCTCCGTCGCGATAGCCGGGACGACGGGGGGAGACGACGAGCCCGGAAGCCGATGGGATACCTGGAGCGGCCAGTCTCCCAGAGAGACGCCAGGTATCTTGTTTGGAGATCGTGAAGTTCAGTTCAGATTCGAAGCCCTCCCTATGAAGCAGCTCCCCGGAGAATTCGAAACTACCGTATTCGACGAGCTACCATTGATACGTCAGTACGTCGAATGATATCGTGTAAAGGCTCAGCATCTCTGATGAAACCAATACACAGACTGACGTTGGACTATACTTGGAAGAGCTGCAACACTGCTATACTATATATCAAGTCTGTACGGGAGGTATTAACAGCTTGCTGACGCATTGACGAACTTACTGACTCTTTAATGTTAGGCAATGCCTCGACTCCTCTCATCTGGCCAAATATTCCGTCAACCTCGCCTGATACCTCTCGAAGACGCGTCGCCGAATCCATTCGTCGAGTCCAGAAGACCATGTACGTCTCATTTGCAGTCCCTCCCAGTAGTGCACGATGGCGATCCAAAGGTAGAGCCCGAGAGCGAAGACGGCGAATGGGACAATGAGCCAGATCTGGAGTTGGACATGGCCAAAGCGACGCCCGCAATCGTACCCAAGGATATCAAAATTGTCCTAATCGACCCTCATATACTCATGGTACGTGAACTCTGAAGTGGTTTCTCTTGCCGCGTACGCGATACTTAAGGGACGTTACCTGCAGGATCGGGACGGGCCGTTACAAACAGCTCTTTCTCACATTTTCCCCCCATCCCAAAGTTCGCTTTCGGCGAAGGAGCTGCTCGATCTATACATCGAATACGAAAGCCTTGGGACCATCGATCAACATCCGATATCCGTGATCAACGTAGTTCGCAGTGTTGCTCGTTATTTGGGCGCCTCGGTGGACGAGATGACGGTTGACGATGCAATGGAGTCGTATGGAAAAGCGACGCAACGCCCGGAAGGTCAAACACTGATCACCAAGTTACGAGAGCGAGGCTACACGCCCATGGCCATCCCATCTACAGCCAAGGAAACAGTCGTACGATACGACGGTCTTTCGATCGAGTTATATTCCCACCCGATCTTAGAGGAAGCCCCATCGCAGAAGCCCTTCGCAGAATTATGGCCACAAGCTTTGTCGTTCTGCAAGACATTCGATTCCGGCATTCGCCCCGACCAGATTCTCGTTGTATCGTCCGACCTATACCGAGTTTGTGAGACTGCAAGTCAAGCTGGCTTTCCGACCGCTTTCATCAAAGCCGAAGGCACACGCAGCGCCAAGCTAAAAATCCCAACGATAGCGCCTACGTATACCCTGTCATCTTTACTTCATCTGTTAACCGTCCTAGACGAACCTTTGGTACCCGCGACTTCACCCAAGGTGTCCAGGCAGAATCCGCCCTTTCGCGTGAAGGACAATTACCGGTGCACGTTTTTGTTGGGATGCGGGTCATTTGGTAGGCCTCCTCTTTCTGAGTTCGAAGATAAGATATTGATGTGACTAATCCACAGCATACGTCTGGAATGGTATTCATGTGCACACGGGAGCCGGCGTCGCCTTGAAATTCGAAGTCATGGATCCCTCAGTTCCATCAACGTTGCCCTATGAAGCAGCGATATACGCTCAACTTGAGGGCATTGAGGGCATTCCGCGTATTCGTTGGTCGGGGCAGGACAAGAACGCGAACGTAATCGTAATGGACAAGCTCGGGCTCAATCTCGAGCACCTGCGGCGCTTCTGTCGAGGTCAATTGGGGTTAAAGACCATCCTGATGCTCGGTGAACAGATGGTGAGTTGCTACCCCGCACGTCAAAGTTTCGCCGACGCTATAACGACGTGTATGAAGCTCTCGACAATTGAACACGTTCATGCCAGGGGTATCGTTGTGCGCGATATCAAACCAGAGAACTTCGCAATGGGCTATCTGGAAGATTATCAGCGATTGTACCTCTTCGATATGGGCTTGTCCAAACTTTATCTCGATCCAACTACGGGAAAGCACATACCGTTTCGCGAAGGACGTGGAGGGATTGGTACCCCGCGATATGCTAGCCATAACGTTCATTTCGGCCTAGGTACCTACACGTTTGTCATCGTTTCATTCATCCTGTTCATTTACAATGTTCCCAGAACCCAGTAGGCGAGATGATGTTGAGGCCATTGGCATCCTCCTTCTCTACCTTCTTCACGGCCGTCTCCCTTGGCAAGGGATCTGCGCTCCCGATATTCCAGCAAAGCTACGCCGTATTGGAGAGATGAAACGGGGTGGCCGCTTCACAGATCTACTCGCGCGTTCGCCGGCGTTTTTCACGCCATTCTTTTCGCATTGCCGCGCACTGAAGTTCGAGGAGAAGCCTGACTATGCAATTTTGAGGAAGCTACTGAGAGAGGAGATGAAGGACAATGGGTGGGAGTATGACTGGAAATACGACTGGTGGCAACCAGGAGAGAGGGGCACCTTGCTGCCCGATGAGTACCAAGTTCACTCACGCTTCGTAGAGCCGATACGGCATACACTTGATACGTGGTAATTCGTACGAGCATTGGGCCTTCACGGTGTAGGGCGATTCAATCGTAATATCTGTCCGTAATACACGGTAATGGGATCCTAAGTGCGTCTGTAGAGCACGGTTCATCATTTATTAGACGCTTCTGGCTTTAGTCGTGGCTCGCTGGGTACAAGAATTGAACTGCCTCTCCATTCTCATCAACCGATACATCTGTGGTGATGGAGATCTCCAGATCAAGTGAAGTTGGTATTTGTGGACTCGCAAAAAACTGAGGTGCCGTTCCCACCGGGGGCATGTTGCGTGAATGACCGATGATTCAGCGTATGGTAAAAGGCTAGTGACAGTAAGAAATGTGTAACGCAGAGAAGCTCACGTTGACAACATGGATGCGACATGCACTGAAAGAAGTCGGACTAATAGTTATCATTGAATACAGGCGAGACGTACAATTTCCGATGATCTGATAGACTCCCGATGGCTTGATTGGCACCTCCTCGGCCTGAAATCGTGGATAAAGAAGACAGTTATAGTTTGAAGGCATGCGAACTTACAAGGACAAGGACCATTACAAAAACATGCTGATAGGAAAATTAAGAGTAAGCCGCGAAGACTCATACGGACATACTTAGTTAGGATCCCGATGTTGATCGCCCAAAAATATTATCTTGTTGATCAAGCTGCTGATTCAGATCAGGATAATTTGACATCCTCATGGGGTAGATGCGAGTATACGACGCACCTCGTTCCCAGGCCGGAATGTGAGGTATACGCAGAAAAATACCCTGAAAGAACGGGAATCCAGCGAGAATCTAAGAGAGGTCGAATATCAGTGTAAAGTCCAGTAACGGTGACGGTCTCCTTACAAGATACCAGCGACGACTTGATGAATCAGAGGTTAGTTACCGCCATATTTCTGGCTGGCACTCACCCTAAGAAGAGCCTAACGAGGATAATTCGGTAACGAAGTGTTCTCTGGGGACTATAAAAATGAAATAGTCGCGTGCAATATTGCCATTACTCGCTGAATCCGCAGATGAATTCTGTGAGAATTGCATCGACAAGGACCCATGTCCTCCACTTACAAGGAAAATGAAGAGGCCACGTCTCCGGGAGCTCACTGGCCTCTGTCAGTAAGTCCTAGAGAGTAGATGTGTGCAGCTCAGATATGTATACACGCCAGGCGAAGAACGAATGTGCGGCGAAAATAATAATGCCCTGGCAGATCCGCGTCATCTGACACGTATTTACGCTCATGAAGGACTTCTGACTTACGGTGAAGAGTCACCGTGGCCTTTTCAGCGACAAGCCAGCGATGCTAAACGGACCGATACGACAAGAACCTTACGGGAAAGCCCCTGGGATATCCATTGAGTGTACTCGATACCGTTTGTGCCTGAAGAACTCACCAAGTGCGATGAAATACTTGAGCAACGTCCACTATTCCGTCAAGGAAATAGAGGTAAACGATCTCCCACAAGGACATGGTGTGCAACGCCGCCATGACCCTAGACGCGACGAAATGGTACTCGATGGGGATTAATCATATCCACCAGACGAATGCAACCTACGAAACGATACCGTGAGTTCTTGCAAGATCTTTAGCGCATCCTTTCCAAAAGTTGCAGAGCTTTTCTATCTCCAGGATAGTGGTAGTCGTATACCACACTTGCAGCGTATTTGCCCCGACAAGGCTTGAAGGATCGTCAGAAATGGAGGTTGGTATGTATTCAATATTACTGGACAACATACCAACACCAGGCTGACCGTTCCAATAGTTCGGGAGTATCATAGAATCGCTGGCCGTGTTTGCTTCCATGCGCGATCCGTTTTCGTACTGAATACCGCATACCCGTTTCCTATATTCGTAGTAAGGCTGACTGACTAGATAGCTATCAGCGTATCATTCGCTGATGAGTCACATATCGGCTTCAATTCATAGCGAAGCTGACTTGAGCAACTGATTCCAAAGTTGACATTCGTATATTCGTTCAAGACCGAATTACCCGCACGTTCGTTAGCAGGTTACGCAAACCGTCCTAAGTTTGGTACGAGGGAAGCGTTGCCTGCATACCATCGCCGTCCATCCGTTCGGACTTGAACTTGGTGTGCCAAGTAACACTTTACATCAGGGCACCAGCGAGTCATCCCCCGAGCAAAGAAGCAGCGATCTTCAATTACACATAGCTAACGACGCACAAGCATTAAGAGAAGTTCAAATCGAGGGCCACTTTCTTCGAGTACACCTGGCTGTACTACACCAGGCGTTAGAACACTGCGAGGACAACAGGAATAAATACGTACGACTTGCTGGCTTGGCCTAAGCCATTCGTAGGATTGAAAATCTAGGGTTTCATTTTAGCTGGGGGTGCAGAATGGCAAAAGCGTATCACGCCGAGACATGCCTAAAGTAACCGGGAAAGCTGCAGGATTCACGAACTTAAGTACGGAGAAGGCGACGAGGGGGTAAGAAGTCGATGGCTCAACCTTGATGGGCGCCATTATCAGTGCCCTGAATATAGCGCTAACAAGGAAACGAAGAGCATATTGTACCCACCCGCTTCTGGTATTGCAAGGCGAACTGGACGCCATTGGTAACTTCACTCCCGGTCTGCTTCGTCTTGACGAGGGTGGAGTTGTCCTTGTACGCCGCGTCAAACATGAAGACTTCATTTCCGTGGTTCTTGAATAGGGGGATTGACTCCTGGTAATTGATTGTATCTAGAGCAGGGGTACCACTGTAGGTATGCAGAGTTCCTCTGAAACATTGGAGAAACGTACACTGGTAGTTGTCACCGGACTGAGAGGCACTGTCGGTCGCGGGAAATTGCTTTATAGACGACAAAGACGTCGACGCGAGAACCTTCTGTACAAAGTCCGTACGTTCGCTGGTCCCCTGAGTGGGGGGCATCTCTAAAAGGCCTTGGTGCACGATCATCACCGTGATCACTCCACCTTTCTCCCTGAAGCGCGGGTCGTTGGGGGCCGCGCCGGAGACGTACACGTAGATATCGCAACGCCAGTTTAGAGTCGAGACCCAAGTCCCTGAGACATTGTAGTATCTGAGGTTGTCGAAGATCGTCTCGCTCTGCCTACATGTTGTACAAGGAATCGTAAGCTGATAGGCCGTCAAGAGGGATGAAGGAGAGGCAGACCGTTTGAAGTAGTTCGTCCCCGGGGGAGGCATCAGCCGGACGACCTGCTCGAAATCGTTGGAGGACATAGTTGAGACGTTATACTGTGGGTTGTTCTGAGTGAGTGGCCAGGATATATACTACCGGCTACTCGCTTAAGGGTGATTGTGGCGTAATGTAATGCAGTCGAGAAGGTATGCAAAGCTGTTGAGGTGACGGATCGCGAACATCTAGTATCAAGCTTGACGGACGCGGGAAGGAATCGAGCTCTAGATACGACTGGGGGACATAATTCCCGCCAAGGTCGCCATATAAGTTGGTATGGGGAAAGGTACGAACGTTTATTGATGCTTCTATCAATGGGGTGAGTGTGGGGGTAGGAGGCGAACAGAAAGATCTAAAGCATGAGCTTCGCGATCGAACGTGTAGACAGCTTTCTTGTACGCCACTCGAAGAGTCCTTTACATTATCTCGAGCATCTTGTCCAGGGAGAAGCTTGGGCAGAGTAGCTTGGCTGGCGTGTTCCCAAGGTACGTCGTACAGGTGTGCTTCGTTAACTCGCCAAGGGGTTGTCACGAGGGTCAATCAGACAGATCAGAAAGAAGAACTTCATTGATAGCTGGGTTCGTACGTCAATGAGCACAGTTACACGAATAATTCACCTATTCTCTGCTCGTTTTCATCGACAACAGGGGTGAACAGCGGTGATGAGGTCGTAGCTTGCTTAAGACTCACGGTACTGTTGACGGAGACTCGAACGTCCGAGGTCTTATCCAACGCACGAATAAGACATGTTGGGAGTCAAAGCAGTCAATGGCTGACCCTTTGCAAGGGTTCTAACTACTTGGTAATGTATTCAGCAGGAGAGGTCAAGGATTAGAATAGAACACACCATGAAGGCTAGCGCGGGATATCATGTCCGAGTCCAGCTCTCTGTCCATGTTCGGGCGCCGTCAACAATCCCGCCACAACCGCCGATCCGTCCTGTTTGCGTTTCAACCGATCGTACAACGCAGTCACCGCATTCGTGGTATCAACAATTAGTTGGGCTTCACTAGGAACCGCTACATCCACTCCATGATGCCCCGATTGCGACGAAGGCAGCAAGGGGAGCGCGCCGACGCCTGATTGGCGTAGGATGTCTGATAGGAATTGGAGGGATTGCTTCAGCGTTTCCAGATCGGCTGTCGTTGAGCCTCGCGTCGATTCATTGAATGGTCCTCCAGAAGAAGCGAGACCAACCTTCAGCTTGGTACGGAAAGATTCCGGGTTTGTATGCCTCCCGTCTGAAATGTTCCCCATTGAGTATCAGTCGATAGATCGGAGTCGATCAAGCGTACGAGTTGTGTAGAACAGTTCTCGCGAGCCTCCTGACCCTTTCAAGATGATCCCGTATGAGATGCAGATTCTCCTTGAAAGTATCTGGCGAATTCGGGTCTGGCCCTTGGTGAACGAGACGAACGCTATCTGAGGAGACAAGGCTTGGCGCGACTAAAGCATTTGAAGAATTTGATGTATTGTTCGGGTGAGCATACGTCGATGAGCTCGCTGCCGACGTGACTGAGCTCAATGAAGGACCTGACGATTGCATTGGAGGAACAACGAAGTTCGAACTCAGGACGTCTCCAAGCGCCGAAATAGACAGTGGCGTTGCACCGTGGGGAATGCTTTCCTCATTCATGATTTTCCCCGGACCGTTGGCGCGAAGCTCGCGCCACGTTCGCGCCGCGAACGTGAACGCAACCGAAGATATGCTTTGGCATAGCGCTTCGTGGACTAGTACCTAATTTTCTAATGGACGAAGGCGTGCATGTTCTTTGAATAAGTATGGGTGCAAATGAGCATCAGCGAAACCCATTTGCATCTACGCAACAGTCAACATTTCGCACCTCTGCATGATAGTGCGTAGAAGAACTGAATTATGTCGGCCATCGTATATCTAGACTTTACTATGCGATTACGACCAAGTAGAATACATGTACAACATTGCGTGCTATGATTTGCTTCGGCCGTGCTTCAGAACATCGACTGGCCATATCTATGAGTTTTGACGATTTGCGATCCCAAGATGGAGAAGATTCGACCGCTGTTGCTAGCGTCGAACAAAGAAGATAGCTACAATCATGGCGAAGCCGTTGACGCCTAGCAGCGACCAGAATGACGCGGCATAGCCAGCGTGTTGAGATATCGGGTCCAGAGCGCGTCCGGAGTTCACGCCGAGCGTAATAGACGAAACGACTAAAAGTGGGAGGTCGCCGCTGAGAATTAAACGAGGAAGACAGCCTGAGAAGCAACTCACCAGCAAGACCCAACGTCGCACCCATCTGGTACGCCGTATACGTGACAGCCCCCACGACGCCCTCCTCACCCTTCCTCGCCCCGCTCATAATCATCGTCGTGCACCCCACATACACGCCGCCCATGCCCATGTGCCCGATGATCAGCCCCGTGAATATGTGGGACCAGTACTTATCGGGCGTGTCCCCGAGCGCAAATAAAATGGACGCGACAGCCATGAGAGTGGGACCGCCGATGAGGAGGGTGTGCGGCGCCCTGGTGACGTATTTCCCGGCGAGGTAGCAGGACAGCACGCCTGACGGACCGAGAGGGATACATCGCACGGCGGCGATCAGGGATGAGTCATGCCAGAGTTGCTGATATTCGTGGAATGTAAGTACACGGTGGGTTTGCTAGCAGCGGAAGAATAATAAACGCACAGTGAACACGTCTACGAGTTGCAGTTCCATGCCGAGGAGCCACCAATACGCAGTCCAGCCGTAGAAAAACAACGGGATGAAATTCTTATTCGTCCATGTTTGCAGCGGGAGAGCCGGTTCCTTCACGATTCTCTCGACACCAAAGAACGCGCCCATGACTACGACAGACAAGACGAGCGTCGTGATGACTTGCGGTGATCCCCATCCTAAACATTGCCGACAATCAGCAAGTGGGGGAGAGATCAATAGTGCTGGCCCTACCTGAGTCAGAGCTAGCTGATATAGCGTAGACGAAGAGAATAAGCCCGGCCGTGAGCGTTAAGACCCCGGGTAGATCAATGCCGCGCCGCTTATCCGTTTTAGGCACCGGATTCGGGAGGATGAACCACGCTAGTATTGATGTGGGGATGACCGCGATTGCGATCAAATAGTGGACTGGTGTACGCGGGTTAGGGGGTAAGCAGCAGTCGGAGGTATCATATGGGATAAATGATCAACGTACCCCAGCGCCAAGTTGTTCGAGCGGTAAGCACTCCACCGATGATAAAGCCGAGGACGTTTCCGATGGCACCAGCTGAGGCATACCAAGCGTAGGCGTGGTTCTGCTCGACGGGATCCTGGTAAGCTATTCGTATCATCGCTAGGGACGACGGAACGTTCATGGCGGCCCCTGAATGAGAATGAGCTGAAATCCTCGTTGACAAGAAGTTGGAAAGTTGAGACGCACCGATGCCTTGCAAGGCGCGGAACACGATAGCCATGATTGGGTGGACACTTGCTCCTACGGGAATCGCGAAAAGACCAACAACCGCGAATCCCGCGCAGAAAACGGGTTTGGGGTGAAAAATGTCTGAGACGCTCCCAGATATCAGCATGAACGATGCGAAAGTCAGCGTGTAAGCCGATAGAATCCATTGCAGTGCTCCTGGTTCGAATCCCAGATCGCGACCAAGCTATTTTATATGAGTTCGACACCATCTAAAAAATATATCTGAGGAACTTACCTCAGGTAGCGATATAATTGACGCATTCCCATTGAAAATGTCGAAAAACTGGGCCAGACAAACGATAAAGAGCACCAGTACCTTCCTCCGCTTGCTCAAGGTTTCGGTCGGTGGAATGGCATTTTCTACCGCAGACGCCTCGACATCCGATTTTTCTGTTTCTCGCGGCGAGGATTCAGTAACAGTAATTTTTTCAGCCGAAGATGAAGAAGTTTGGCTGATTTCTGTGAAATCTTCTACTTGTCGTGTACTCTCTGACGCCGTCGACATGGAGGGGTATCGGAGGAGGTGATGGCACGATGCAGGTCTTCTGAGAGGCGCATTATATAGATCAGTTAATTGGCAGCTAAGTAAGCAGAAGAGTATGGCCGTTGACCCATTCGAAATAACCTTGGTGGCTTCTTTCGAAGGTCTCACGAGTGGGTCGCTCTCTGTGTCGGCTTTGGAATCAAACAGCTATACACAAGCGCCTACTTGCGCGCCGCAATCCCGACACGCTCACGATGCTGGACTGCTGCAATGGTCTCTCGCTTTGGGAGCTCCCCAAATATATGGTATGGAATGCAGGGGTCGATAAGTGTGTCGACACACTTATCAAGCTCCATCTGAAGCACTGTCTTTCGGCTATCAGGTTCCGGCATCGCCGGCATGCAGCGTACAAGCCCGGAGGAAGAAATGAAGGAGTACCGTACCATGAATAGCGATGATTTGATATAAATATCAAGGTTAGCCCATACTCCAATCATCACAAGCTTCGGCAGCTTCACAAACGCACCCATGGACCCTCTGCAATGCCGTATTGAACGACATATAGTACGAAGCACGAGGCACAGGCCGGATTGCTTCAAAGTATGTTGTTTTATCTTCACAGCGGCAAGTTGTAAGCTTGTGTATCTTGATTCCTTAATCTTATGAAAAGTTTAACTAATCGGATGTCAGGTGTATAGATGCTGTCATCCTCGAACCGTATAAGTTACCCAAGTTACCCCACGCTCGTCAGCAGCATTAGCTCACAAAGTCTGCGGAGGAAGGAGGACGCGCACCAAGTTGAGTCGAGTTCTCCGGACCCAGGTTGACGTTGAGTGATATGGATGAGCTGTGATGGTACGAGGCTAAGCCTCTCTTATATGTCGCGCATCACGGGCCTTTCCGACTCCTGCTTCTCTCGCTTTAAATGGTCCGTCTCATTTCCTCGAAGTACGTGAGTTTCATAATTGGCTCACCTTCACGGCCCCCCACCTCTGCCATCCCGCAGTCCTTTCCATGTAGTAGTGGGAGTTGTGGTTTAGATCGATTCCGCACGATGTTGACTGCCCATCTCATTTTCTGAAGGAACAAACGACGACAGCATCCCATGACTCGAGCTGTCATCCTGCAAAAGCTACTACGAACTTTGTGAACTCAAGCATATGGAACCAGGAGACGCCGGGAGCCTTTGTGGCATCGTCCACAGTTATGAATGGCTGGATTGTATTCACCGAACCGCGCCTCGAATGGGAATGCAGATAGGTGCCAGACTTAGTGTGGTCGGAGCACGCATAACCGCACTGTAAGCCGTTAAGCATTCTCAGCAACGAGGAGAAGATGCACCTTGCTATTGAGGTTCCTATATGTTCTTACGAACCTGGTGGCGAAGTTGGTCGAAGCGGAAACGGTACAGTCGGTTGTCAAGCCTTCTGTGTTTCTGGAGGTGTGCTGAAGAAGTGAAGACGTCAAGCGGGGCCAGATGGCAGGGAAAGGGGACGAGTGCGAACTAGGCTGCCATGTCGAGTTGTAGTTCGCCCTTTGCGATTGCAAGTGATCCTCACACGCCGTCCTCTTCTCCTGGGTGCTGGTGGAACTCGACAACAAGATTCGTGGCGGGAAGCTCAGCATTGACGAAAAACATTGACCGTTCCAGACTCGTCGTCGCGAAATGGACGATTGTGGACATTTGCGTCCAGGGATAAGTGAAGGCGGACGGTACGGTGTGCATACGAATCGTATACGGGACCGGATGATATTTTCCTTCTCATCCTCCGTCTTCCATACCGGCTGCAAGTTCTCGCTAAGTTCCATAAATGAGCCGTCATCCTTGGGCGGCTTCGATACTACTTCCTGACTAAGAAATGAGGAATGTGGCCTGATCGCCAACCAAGGAAAGCGCGATCACGACTGCCGGACAAAATATGGGTCTACGCTTGCTTACAAGTTCTACGTGGATGGTGGGCAAGGAGTATTTCTTTATCATACTACTGGAGACGATCCTGTGCGTGTGGTAATCGAGAGCGAGGACATGGCGTGAAACTTGGCCTTTAATCAGGCATTTTGTATGTTACTCGGATAGGATGGAGAAACGGGTGTAGCGCAGACCTTGTGGTAATTCCCACCTCAATATTCACCAATATTCCCTTATCATAAGTGCGTGGAAGTACTATCCTTCTGTTTTTGCTCGGACTCAAATTGAAAGTTCGTCTCGAATATCCCTCTAACCTACAATGCGCCTCGATAGAATATTCCTAATCATCACCCCGCCATCTCATATGCAAAAGCGACGGCGAGCTTCGTAAACTCAAGGGTATGCGACCAAGAGAAGCCCGTAGCCGTCGTCGTGTCGCTTGAGCTATGGATGGCTGGATTGTCTTGGCTGAAGCGCGCTTCGAACGAGAACGCAGACGGGTAACCATTCCTGTTCCAAGAGGCGTGGTCTGAGCACCCATAACCGCACTGAATTCCATCAATAAACCTCTGAAGATATGCTTCGAGAAGAAAGCATACCTTATCTCGGACAACACCGAGGGTAGTGTAAGCCTGTACGAGGTTGGCAACGAAGTCACTCAAGGCGGGATCAGTGAAGTCGGTCATCAGTGCAGTTACTGGAGTAACACCCGGGGGCGTACTAATAGGCGAACGAGTTAGTTATGGAGGAGGGAGAGGAACCCGAGACGACGTACTAGGCTGTCATGTCAAGCTGTAGCGCGCCTTTCACCTTTACGCCATCTGCCTTGTACCTTGTGGCGATTGCGTTCGATCCGAGTAATCCACCCTCCTCGCCCGAGTACCAGTGAAACTCCACTGGAGTTGCCGGTGCGAACCCTTTGCTGACGAGAACTCTGAACGCCTCCAGCAAATTGACCGTGCCGGACCCATCGTCGTCGGCTCCCGGTGCGCGTCCGTTCATTGGGCTGCCTCCGTTAACGGAGTCCATGTGTGCACCGAGAATCGTCACTGGCGCTGAGCTGTTCTTGCCCGCGAAGCGGACGATGGTGGAACTTTGAGCCCAGGAGTGGGTGAAGGCCGACGCGGTGATACCGGATTTTCCAGCGGCGATCTGTTGATGGGAGATCAATGGGTGATTCGTGAAATGCAAGAACGCAGGGGATTCACGGTTCGGACGGTGTTGAGGATCCAGGTGGAGGCATCGGCACCGGTCGATGATCTGTAGTAGCGATTATTGAAGCTCGTCAACGTTCCTAGGTTGGTTTGCATGTTTGATAGCGAAATGGTGGCGATCGCATCCGTGACGATAGATTGCTGAGACAGTTCGCCGTCTATACGGGTATACGGCGACATCAAACAAACGCCGACCCAGGGAATGGAGCCAACGTACAAGAAATTTCTGCAGATTGTACTTTGAAGTTCGATATCTTTTGGGAGAGCTCGTATGTATCTGTAACATCGAACTAACCGATCCAAAGAAACATCAGTGGGGGATTGCAACACGAGTTCAACAATACGCACGAATCGCGTCTGCGACCGAATAAGCTCTTCCTTCTCATCTTCCGTTTTCCACACTGGTTGCAAGCCTTCGCCAAGTTCTATGAGGCGTAGACCTTGAGCAGCCTTTACACTGATTTCTGACGAGGGTATGAATGGTGCAGCCTGTGAGCCGACCAAGCAGAGTGCTAGCGCAACGACGAGACTAAGTGGGATTGCCATACGGTGTGGAGGTAGGAACTGACTTCCCGATCATCCATGCCCAAGATTTATATATGTAGGCAATACAATGCTTCTGCCCGTGGTTCATGTGGAAAGTGCACATCGTTGCGCACGAGAAGGCCCTGCGCGCACGGCAAGAAGAAACCTGCGACACATGAGGCCTTTCCTTTATCTATACGATATGCTGTAGTTATCTGGAAGGTCGGATGATGTAGCACGTACGTCGCGGCCCCCTCCAGCGATTCTTCACGAGAATGGAGGTCAAAGAAGCACCATGCCTCCGTAACAACGCCAAATTTCTCCGGAGCCAAGCCAGAAGTTTTCGCGGAGTCTAGCGGAAGGCTGATCCAGCAGCATGGTCGAGATCTCATAATGACAGAAGAAGCGTGAAACATATGGTGCCGCACATAGCTGTAGCCGAAGTCGTTCTCTGAACCATTTGTTCTGCTTCACTGAGCAAGGAGGACGAACGAAGACACCGGGCGCCCGATCACCCTTGATCATAATCGAGACGGCACGTGTAGGATAGGGGCGCATGCGACCAGATGCGACCGAAGTTAATCTTGGTTTAGATGGCTGGCATAATTCACAATGTTTCCCATAGATAAACAGTCACATTTGAGGTCACCTTCAACAGCTTTCCGTTATTTTGAGACTCACGTCGAGGATTCAAATTACTGTTGAAATTCGAAAGTTACCAGTGGGCACCGCCAAGCAATGGTCGTTCCTGCTTCCTTATGCTTATCTTCAAACGAATACGTATATACCCTGCGCCTGAGACGACTTGAATCCACCGTCGCGCTCGTAGTTATCGCGAAGAAAAGACAGACAAAACAAGCGAAGACCTGGGGAATCGAGCGAATGTAGATTGGCGACTTCACGCCGTCCATAATTGTAACATATCAGCACCCCGGCCCGTCACAGGCACGGGAGGGAGTGGTCCGTTTTTGGCGAGGCCCTGCGGTCACAAGCCTACAGTAGAAAGGAGACATATGTCCCCCTAGTCAAGTCTTGGTAGAACCTTTGGGATCATCATCTCGCGGACCACTACTGCGATACATGGCTCTAACATGCATGCGATGGAATATTCACGCGTCAGCAACGGTGGTAATTCAGTGATTGAGCTTGTTGCCTCCGGGATCAGCTTTAAACTTCATGAAATGATGATACATTCGTGACACGCGTGTGGCATCGTGGAGGTGGGGTTCTATGGGGCAGTTCGTCTGCACGTTCGAAGCGAGGAGCCGAACTCGCGACGTGTTGTGAAAGAGACGCGCAGCTAGTAAGCACTGACGGACAAGTACTTTCGGGCATGGCACAGGGTAACGGCACGATGAAACCGGTAGGTGATTCATACGGTGAGCAGGAAGCCGAAGTGGAAACAAGGTGGGATTTACCCTCGTCAGGAAATATTGATCGTATCGTACTTGTACGCAATCAGTTGCGGCAAATATGTTAAGTTATACTAGATGCTCACCCATCATTTCAGAACCGTGTTACTTGGGTAAATACCATCGTGGACGTGCACGACTGCATTCCAAGTCACCAGGGTGCATGCGGCTTTCGGTTTAGCGTCATGTTTCTAGACTGGGGTAATTCTGATGCGAGACCGCTTCTTCGTGGCCGTCGGCAGTCCGGAAACAGGAAATATTTATCCTTCCAGTTCAGTCGCCGGTGGAGCCGATGAACGGGAGGATTATCGAATAATTCAATGGGAAGAGATGGCCGCCATCATGATATTTCCACCCACGAAAGTCAAGGAAACGCGCCAGAGTGCCAGAAGTCGAGCGTGAAACCATGGAGGGATGTTTGTTGATTTCGAAGTCAGTTGGTGCTGTAAATATAGCTGAAAGTCCCACTGGATTCTTCGCCAGAACAATTTCGTGGGTTTGGGCGCTAATGAGCAACATCGTTTAATAGTCTGTGTGCTATGAGGAGGCTACACCTAGTTTACGAGGATTAGCCTTCCCAGTAGCAAGCAGCGAGCTCGTTGACCGACATATTTAATTTGCAAGAGTTTCTTCGGCACGGGCGGACGTTTCACCGTGAAAGTCAGGGAAAAACAAGCGTGAGAAAGGGACCATAACAACATTGCGAGCGGCTTACCTAATGTAGGCTTATCATCTTTTTCCTTCCCTTCCTCATCCCTCCACCGCAAAGCTCTCACAACGACAGTGACGACGGCGACGACGACAATCGACCTCTCTCGCCGCTGCTGCTCACGATGAGCAACCACGTCCTACCCCCTTCCTCTCCCTCTTCACCCGCCCCCCACGAGACCCACCACATGCTCACTGATGGACCCTCGTCACCGCCCTCGACCTCGCCGACTCCACGGTCTGCACGCTCGCAGACTCTGTCGTCCGGCCACCACAGCGCCTTGTCGCCCTTGAACCCCGCTTCGTCCGCGACTGGGACGTTTCCAATACCGCGCTCAAGGCCAGGCTCTCGTGGTTCTCAATATCTTACCAACCGCTTCGCCTCAGACCACTCGGCAAATACGGCCAGCTACTACAATACTTCTGATTCAGCGTATCCAACATTCGCCGCTCCAAGTCCAACGGGCCTCGGTGGTGCTGGGACGAGAGCGTCGATGGTGCTGTATAGGTTGGCGGACGACATAGTGTCGCCTGGTGGAAATAGAGATTCGGTCAGGGACTCCACATTATTGCCGCCCGAACGGAAATTCGCTCGCGACAGCGTCTGGTCATCATCAGGAGACAGCTTCGTCAGCATCTCTTCGGATAGAGACAGCAAGTATCCCTCCGACTTAATGTCGCCCTTCCCAACTACCCCAAGAGGTTTGGTGCCATATGCTTACGACCCTGCGTCCGACGAACTTGAACCACCTGATGAAGAGGACATGCTGCATGACCCGGACGATAAAGCGTGGAGTGAGTCGGATGTATCTTCTTTTTGATGCTCGTTTCATCCTATACCTCATAGTCAGCGGCGGCGGCAAACGGCATCCTGGCCTCAAGCGCGCCTTTCCTTGGCGAGGAATACTCAACGTCGCCGTCCTCATTATCCTCATCCTCGCCCTCCTATGTCTTTTTATCTTCTACCCGGTCCTCACGTTCTACCAGAACTCGGCGAGAAATCTGAAAATCGATGGCAACATACGGATAAACGCGACCGGCCAGGCGCCAGTTTTGTACGTGTTTCTAGGTCGCCTACATGGCGGAATGGTGGCTTACCCTAGATGTCGAATTTTGCAGATTCCAGATGCCGGATTTGATTGACAAAGATACCCCAGACGCCGCGAAGTCACGCACAGGATTCGATGGTCATGAATACGAACTCGTCTTCTCGGACGAATTCAACGTAGATGGGAGATCCTTTTACCCAGGTCAGTCTGTCACCGTACGGCGGATTTCTTGTCTACTTTCTCTGACGTCTGTCTGGTTTCTGCTCGCTTAAGGTGACGATCCATTCTGGGAGGCGGTTGATCTTTGGTATGGTGTGACCGGCGATATCGAGTGGTATGACCCAAGTCAAGTGACGACGAGGAACGGTAATCTGGTCATCACGATGGATAGTATCGAGACCACGGTACCTGGTCAAACAGTAGGTAGGTCTTTCTCTAGCTTGGCTCTTTCCCATTTTCTCTCCGCCAGACGGTGATTCGGGCGATCTCATCTTGCATTCTCCCACTCGGCTTTCCATTTTAACCCACAACGTTGTTTAGGTTCGACGGCACCTTTCACTGCGGCTGAAAACCACGCCCTGAACTATAAAAGCGGCATGTTGCAAAGCTGGAACAAGTTCTGCTACACGAGCGGCTATATCGAAGTCAGCGTGGTCTTGCCTGGGGCCAACGAGAATGCACAAGGATACGTGAGTGCTCACCTTTCCCACTCTTCTTGTCCTGCGACGGTGCTTGGTTGAAAGGGCGAGGAAGCAACCGTTTCGTCGCCTTCCCTCCATTGTGCCCTGGGCTTATATAGTCTTCGAGTCCCCATCTTTTACGTTAGTGGGCGACGCACTTCTTGCTGCCTTTGTACCTAACAGTGCACTTTGTGATCCGCGTTCATAGCGCCGCTTCGATCTACGCCGAGTACCTCTCGTCTCCGCGAGGCTAATTCGCGTTCATCGCCATCGTCGTTCCGTTGCGAATGCTGATTTTGGCTCCATTTTCCAGTGGCCTGGCGCATGGACTATGGGCAACCTTGGACGACCAGGGTACCCGGGCTCGACGGATGGGACTTGGCCCTACACGTACGTCTACCAGGCAATAGAGCATTGAACCCCGTTGCTGACATCCTTCTAGATACAACACCTGCGATCTCGGAACTTTCCCCAACCAAACCTTGAAGGATGGATCAGGGCCCGCTGCTGCTCTCCACTCGGACGCCTCCAGAGAGAAATACAATTTCGAGCTCAGTTGGCTTAGCGGGCAACGTCTCTCGTGAGTGCATTCTTGCAGACACCGTATGACTTGACTAACTTAACTCTAGAGCGTGTACATGTCCTGGCGAAGACCATCCTGGACCCTCCCATGATCGCGGCCGTGGTGCTCCTGAGATTGATATCTTTGAGGCGTCCAAAGACAAGCAAAACCCCGTTGGTTCCACCGTTTCGCAGAGCGCACAATATGCTCCTTTCTCCCACGATTATCTCTTCTTGAACTCGTCGGCAGATGAGTGGGAGCTGCTGAACCCTGTTATCACGCGTCCCAATGGCTTCAGAGGAAGTCCTGTCCAGCAGTCGGTGTCGGGTGTTTCGAAGCTACCTTCTGACATGTTCCAGGGAAGCGGACAAAGACTTACGACCCTCGGTGAGTCTCACTAGGACATAACGCAGCTGTGGCTAACTAAAGTCCACACTAGGATTCGAGTACTGGGCTAATCCTTCGAATGTCGAGGAAGGCTTCGTGACATGGCAAGTCGATGGGAGCCAGACCCATCGTATGTGGGCCAAAGCTGTTGGCCCGGACAACGGCCCGGACGGTAGTGGTGTCGGACAGCGGCTTATACCAGAGGAACCTATGTCCATCGTCCTCAATTTGGGCATCTCTCGTACGTCGCTGTACCTTTACCGCCATGGACGAGATACTAACCGTCATCGTAGCTAACTGGCAGACGATCGATTTCTCTACCCTGATTTTTCCTGCTGAGATGCTCGTGGACTACGTACGGGTCTATCAGCGCAAGGGCGCAATCAACGTCGGCTGCAGCCCTAAAGATTACCCAACGGCCGATTACATTAATGCCCACATGGATGCCTATACCAGTACGTCGTCGTTGATGGTATCGCCATGTTTCCTTCATTGACTCTTCCTTCAGATGCCAATCACTCATCATGGCCGTACGCCAAGCCCAAGAATAGTTTGGTACGTATCATTCTATCCGAGATCATGACGCCAGTACTCATACCAGTTTTAGTGGGACGGCTGCTAACGGCGTTAGACAATCGAAACACCCTTGTACCATGAGCGACTGCCATCTTTTAAAGAGTCAGCGCCTAGCACCCACACTCCTTTGACCTTGTCCAGGTTCGCTGTCTTCAAGTAGCGGCTTACCTGTACCACCGAGCCCCCTTCCCTACCTCATTGAATAGCATTGGAACATTCATTCAGTTCGCGGGCCTGTAGCTTCGTTCACGTATACTATTCGGACGCAATTCGTATTACTCCTCCCTCCTCCCTCTGCCCCCGCACCCAGAGAATAACATTGCGCTAATCACCCTTGCATGTCCCAGTCGCCGTTATCACTCGCTCACCTCTTCCACTTCCATATCTGTCGTCTTATTACTCCACGGAACTGCCTGTATCGCTTTCAGCCCACCCAACCTTATTAACAATTATCATATTTGGACAGACACGTAGTAGTTTTTCTTCGTCATATACACCGAATCTGCGCTGAATACTTTACCTCTGTACGATGTTATGGACTGCAGTGCTCTTGGAGGATAGGATCATTTGATATCCCTACCAGCCTTTTGTTCCTAGCAGATAGTTACAATTCTAGAGATTGGGATGTCATCGTCTGCAGAGTTTCAGTGCCCCCTCTGAGCCAAATGTATACCTATGTCATGGACCTCTCAACGAAAGCGGTTGGAGGTGTTAAACGTAACTTCGCCCTTTGACCTCCCTCCTCCCTCTTCCCCATCGATTGGAAGTCGGCGTCCTGGGGATTATCCGTTAATATTTCAACGATCGCGCTCATCACAGGAAACGTCATCGGGGTTCAATGTCAAGCAATGACATTGCTGTAGTGATCTGGTGATATCTGCCGAATGCTACGACAGTGGCTACTGGCGCGGACGTCGAGCGTTATTCGAGCGTTGACAGCGAATTATTGGTGCCATATCGGCCGGGTAGTAGCTACGACATGCAAATTCATCCATCCCGCGGGAAACCGCGTCGAGCGTTCGTAATCGACGTTTGTTCCCAGTGGCGACCTAACAGGATAGGCAGTATATAGCTACAAGCCGCCTGCAACGGACGTACTGTTTTACGGTCTCGGTCAGCGTGAGCAGTGGGGGTTCACGAACATCACCTTCTTGGTGGTGTTCCCAGCGAGTCTTTCGTCGAGAGAACGACAGATGATGGTGTTGACCGTTCCGCCGCGATGCTGAGCTGCGTCTGAAATAGCATGGTCTAATTAAGTTTGCCATATGTCCGAGCTCACGAAGGCAGTAAGGTCGCGACTCGCGCGGCCACCGCTTGGCCATCGGGCTCTGCGAATTTCGAGGACATGAACGGGAGATCGAGGTGTAATATGAGATGCGGCAGAGGCTAGGACTGAGCACTACGATGCAAGTTTGCACGGGCACGACTGATGGACACGGCTATGCCTTTCAAACAAGAGCACGGAGTGATGCAATGGAACATGGAGTGGTGAACGACTCAATAAACCCATGCAGGAAGACCGGGGTGAGAAAGCCTGTTGTAATGTATCATGGGTGAGATTCGCCGACACGAAAGGGCATGATTACTAGCAGCCGTGTGCATATTAGGCCATCCTTCGCGAACGTCGTGGTCGATGTTGGGCGGGGATTTATCCTTGTTTGGCGGCCTACCTCGAGGGTCACAGAGTTTCTTAAGCTTAAGTCACGGCGAAGTGACAACCACTAGACGTCCTCGTGTGCATACACCAGGACTTGCGCGCCGCAGACAACGTCTCGCTCCTTCTGAGCCTTGATTGCTCCGCGATCAGCAAGATGTCTCCAAACAAGACATTAACTTGACGACGCTATGTTTACACCCTAATGGCCAATAAAGTCTGCGCGAGCTGCCACATCGGGCAGAATTCACGTTCGACGCTTATCAGCTAGGTAAATACCGTACTTTCAAGATTATTTTCACGGCCACGATTGATGAAACGTCGAATAAACACTTCTTTAGCGTAAGACATCACCGGAACCTGCGCACAAAGAGTCGTTCTGCTGGTAAACACTCAAAGCGCCAGGAGATGCTCTCACGTCGGTTCTCCACGTACCTTGTCGCATCTATCTCATCTGTCGCAGTCAGCGAGTAGAGCTACACCCGCTACCACTCCACGAGACTGCCATTCCATAGATGTTGGTTGCCGTCCTCAACTCGCCATTGCATCCCCGTTCGTTCTCGCATCCACGATCGGCCAAGTACTAAAGCGTGTCGCTGCGGAGAGTGGAAGTAAACTCACCATCGTTGTCTATGAATATAAGGCATCGCGGGTCGTCGAACAAGGGCTGGTTGGTATCTCAACTATTACATGCTGTGACGGGGAATAGCCGCGAGGGGATAGGAGTCCTTCATCTGAAGCTTGAGGTATTGTCGCTTTTTGTACTCGTCGTGGTCTCATTGCCAGCGCTGGCAGGCCGATGTCGTGAAGCTGTTCCATCAGGTCGGCAACGCATGATGCAAAGGTTCGTCGTGACGATCCATCCTTGTTGGGAGCAACCTCAGTAAGGAGTCGAAGCGTCGGTGGGAGCGTTTCTCCAGCATCACGGCTGGCTATGGTCCACAAGGCAGGGATGGGACTTGACCAGTCGCTAGGTTGAGCTCGCGACGCTAACAAATTGCTACGCACTTTTCCCTCCCTTTTATGCTCACGTTACGGTAGTAGGATTTCAAACTATAGGATCTCAAAATAACCTCAAAAAGCGGCGCCCTTTGCAGACAGATCAAACTACACTACTGCGGCGTCCCTTCCGCGGTTGACTGAGCGCCGTTATGGTTTCACTTGCTGAGCCATGGTATACAGGAGAAACCTCGACAAACTCACCGTCTCTTCCTCGACAAACCTATGCAGGATTTACCTACCTGCGTTATCTTCTCCCTCCTTCGCTTGCCGACCTAGCCCCTCCTAGCCATAATCGAGGTCTCACCCAGTCCACCTTTTCGCATCCACGCTACAGCCGCAGTCGGATGGTCCCGAGTGAGAACCGTGTGCAATCAGTCTTATCATCTCCCTTCTGCGCCCACGAATCCGTTGTTCTCGGTTGATGTGTACAGCAAGAATACCTACCACGCGCCTGATGGCTATGATGCTTTCCACCTAGTACCTCATTGCTCTCTGATCTCACAACAGTGAAGCGCTACTTCGTCGAAACTTGGTATATGATAGCCCCCGTTTCAACTCGTTTCCTTAGTGGCCCAATAATCACGCGTGATGGCGAGGGCATGCATGCCCTTCGTGGGACACGCGCAGCATTTCACTCTAACGATTCGGTGGCGTGCCTCGGGTTCGACACCATTTCACGGTTCATTTCGTGCAAAGTATATGCTATTCTGCCTACTAATACACTTTTGCGCTATACAACCTGTGACTAGAATAAGACGAACAAAGCGCAAAATTCACCGGAACCGTAGGCACCGCCACTGGGGTTGACTTTGGGGGTAACGACCCTTAGCCTAGGCGCCCAGGCACATGTTACTCTCACTCTTCTCACAGCAACCGTTTCTCTTCTTCTCTTTGCCAATTCTTCTTGAACTTTGAAGGCCTCAAGGCCTTGAACTCGAGGCGCAACATCTTCTCCTCGACGGCGCAGAGGTTCTCAGATTCCATGTTCGCAACTGTCGACGACGCTTCCCGATCGAGTTCAAGCTCCACTGCATCGCTTCTCTCGGACTTCGTCTCGGGAGAGCGCTACCCCGGTTCTCCGTCCACATGGAAGGGCAAGCAGAAATCGCTCGTGACAGGCAGTGAGTGTGAAGGAGTAGGGTGTGTCGGACAGAGGAGAATCTCAGGACTCAGACGGCGGAGGTCCCAGTTCGATCGCAGAGATGAAGGCCCAGGTGCAACAGACGGAATCGTGCTGCCGATGCAGTTGGTGGGGACAGGGATTTTCGAAGCGTATGCCGTCAATTTTATTGTCGTGACGATGGGCTGATAATGTATCCCCAGTGTCTACACCATTCCCGTACGAGTGGGCACTAGCGCACAAAATTTCTCCATTCAAGTGGACACCGGATCTAGTGACTTGGTGAGTTATCTACTATCAGCGTATGCAGGATCCAAATGACCGTGCGTCACGACGCTAGTGGTTTGCATCTAGGTCGTGTTCCTCCCAGGCATGTTCGCAGACAGGTGGGCGGCTTTACGACCCATCTTCGTCAAGACCGACGGGTCAACAATTCGAGATTCCTTACCTTCGGGGCAGGGCCGCTGGACCAGTGGTGTGGGATCGATTCGAAATAGGTGGCTATAGTATCGAAAACCAAGCAATAGGTGCGTGGATAGTGCAATCGAGGGCGTCTATCAGCTAACGGATTTGCAGCGGCCGTCGACGACGTCTCGGACGAACCGCTCAGCCCTGATTTCGTTGGAATATTGGGACTCGCGCTACCGATGAATTCTATCATCGCACGCGTTCTGACTCCTGGGACAAGCGATGCGCCTGACGGACAGAGCGTACCAGCAAATCTATTCTCCATCACGCCCCGTTACGCTGCGCCCTCCTACCGCTTCATCTCCATCACCCTATCGCGCCCTGGATCCGACTACCCTCCATCTCTCCTCAGTATCGGTCGACATCCTTCTGCCATCCGAGAACTCCACCAGGACAACGACACAGCGAAGGATTTGAACGCCACCAAAGTCCAATACTCTACCCTCGTTTCAGAGCGCAGCGGGATCCTCTTCTGGAAGGTAGACGTTCGTGGTATCACGGTTTGGGTCGATGGATTCGCTAGGGAGGTAACTCTAGCGCGTGGCGTATCTGGAACACCATGGCCCACAGCAGTCATCGATTCCGGCGTCCCCCTCATCCTCACAACCAGTGCCATAGCCAACGGTATCTACGGCGCGCTTGGAATAGGTCCAGCTAGTGATGGTCAATGTAAGTACCATCTTTCTACTTGCCGCCCGGTCCCTGACACCGCACAACAGACTACGTCCCATGCAATACGCCCCTCAACCTTACTCTTACCCTCGACGACCGTCCTCCGGTGGCCCTACATCCCCTTGATCTAACCGGCCTGCCCCCCAAAGACACTTCCAGCGACTTCTGCATCGGCCTCATCCAGGCAGCTGACGCCGCTCTTTCCAGTCCCACAAATGGCTTCGGCGACATGATACTCGGCGTCCCCTTCATGCGCAGCGTCTACACCGTTATGGCTTATGACAGTCCCTCCGAAGAGGGTGTCTTCCCCAACTCGACCGTACCAACCACGGGAAGTGCTAACAGTATTCGACCACGGCTTGGGTTGCTGTCCTTAGTGGACCCCCACGTGGCGATGGACGAGTTTACACGCGTGAGGGTCGCACATCAGCCGCTTTCTACAGGAGGCGGGACCGCAGGGAGCAATAGGGCACCTAGTAGCGGAGATGGGAAGAAGATATCGGTGGGGATAGCGGTGTTGATTGGATTGGTTGGGTTTTTCGCGCTCTGCGTCGCGCTTTTTGCGTTACGGTGGTTTATCACGCGGCGTCAGTGGAGGAATGCGGGTAGCTCAACTTTGGGAGGCCCCAACTCCACAGAGTATCAACCCACACGTCAGGGATCACCCGAGGTCGAGCTCACGGCGGTTGGATGGGCTGGGCTCAGAGGGAAGGACCGCGGCATCGAGGCGAAGGTGATGTCAGAGGACGAGCTTAGGGCTCTGCGATACGAAGCCTACATGCGCAAGGAGCGGGTACATAGCGACTACACCACTAGCAGCGCCCAGACGCGCGTCAACGAGCAAGATAGTGACATCGACGGCGAAATGGGTTTCAGGAAGGAGGCTCCATACGAAGGAACGCCGGCGCTGACTACCGAAGACCATCATCCCACCACCCAATCCGTGTCTCCCTCGCCGTCTCCAATACCGGTCGCTGGTCGGTCCCAGCCTTCAGCTTCAACATCGAGCCACTCGTCCTATGACCCGCATCCCCCACTTTCTGAACATGACGCTCGCCCTTCCATGCATGCAGATACTACGGACGAGCTCGGCGTCCGGCTCAGTATGGTTGGTGTCGGCTCTGGAAATCGCTCGAGCTTCATGGACACATCCTCCCCTCACGATACGAGATTCACTTCTTTCCCCTCACCAGAACCACCTTCAGGACATTCACCACGCCCGGTGGATTCATAACATTCATTTAATGGCGTTTCATTTATACCTCGGACAATTGCTGTGTAGCCATTTGCTTCGCGAAGGGATATCCACGTTCATTGATATCTATGACATACGAATAATCACCCCCCCAGACTGCCATGTAATATGTAAATCTAGTTCGACGGGTGTTTTCATCTAACTTTCAACATATCTAGTTTAGTTGGAAAGATTTGTACCTCGACACTTATTTTTGATTTATCCACTCGACATCCATTGTTCTGAACGCACATTCGAACACCAGAACTTGAAAGAGCAACTGGAGTGAACGTGATCAGATGATGTAAGCAGAGGGAGTCAAATACCATCAACTTGAACCAAATAATGTCTTACCGCCCCAATGTCCACTACTTTCGATGGACGCCCTCAAGCTTGAACCCAAGATACCAACGTGCGTCCTCATTTTCCGATGTGATTCCTCCTTGCTCAGCGTCGAACGAAGCCCATGGGTCTTTGAATGCATTGAACTTTGAAGTATCTTCGATTCCTCATGATCACTCCCTTAGAAAACTTCCGACCGACTTCGAAGGGCCTGCCCCTCCCTTGTGCACTGGGAAGCGGAAGGTCCAAGAGCGTATACCCTTCCGAGTTTTTGGGTTCACGTACACACTTGATGACCTCGTCGATTACGCACTGAGGAATTGCCCCGGCGATCACGATACAAATCCTGAAAGCACGCGCCGTCACCCATCAGTTGTCAGAGGATGTCGTCAGCAAGACGCTCGTCGGCACCTCAAGAAGGTTCTGGGTAACCCCCAACATTGTCTCGTTCGCACTTCGGACGGATTGGTTTTGACTTGCATCGCCGTCGGAAGTAACTATGATCAAAAGGATTTGGATCTCGCGACGGACCCAGATAACATTGCCCTTTTCCAGAAGCTGTTCCACTGGGAGGATCGCAAGCCACGATGGTACAAACGCGTCAAAGATGTATGTTGCATTATTAATCTCCTTTTCGTTATTCTGATGTCGTGCCACAGTGAGCAAAAGCTAGTACAATACATGTCCAGTTGTTAATTGTGTCTTTGGTTTGCTCTATAGCCGTTGTTTGCTGTGTCAATCATATCTTGTTTGCAGTCAGCAGCGAGAGCATGATTCCATGATCCTCAACTAATAGCGCACACCTGTTAGCTGCGATGCCAGTGCTGCCTGACCTCTCAAGTCACGTTCCTCCGCCCATTTGCACGCAATATCTCTCAGACGACGCCTGATACGCCGATGATCGACTACCCCACGCGGTTCTCTATCCTTCCCTGTTGAATGTGGCTCCATCCAGCGCCGCGAGGCCCTCACACGGCGTTCTCCGCACGCCTACGACGGCTTACGACTACCGGCGCTACTCCACCCCTCCCGCCAACTCCAACGGCGACTACAACGGCTACGCTACGCTAACCGAGACTTTCCCACTTCCCCAGCGCTCACCCCACGACTCCCCGCATTACCCTTTACAAGGTTACGCACCGAAACGGCCTCAGATGACCGTGCAATCTTGGAACACCACTGAGGCGCTGCCGAATACCTCCCAAGTATGCGCAACAAAGTACACCACCAAATCGTGCCATCGAGTGTGAGACACGAGCCACTGAGACGAGCAACGACGACGAAAAGGGAGATAGTGATGTGGGACGGACTGCAGTGTTGGAATGCCACCGCCAGCGCATCGACGAAGAAAGGGACGAAAAGGGAAAGGTAAAGGAAGGTACTGCAGGACTGATGTAAGCGACATCGACAACCCAGTTCTAAAGAAGGTGAACGAGCCACTCACCGTCGGATGGTCACCCCGCACCCGCCATGCCCTTCACGACCCGTCGAAACTGTGCCTTCCATCCCCCAAGCCTGTACGGCGTCCTGCAAACAAAATGCAGCGGGATAGCGCCTCAATGGCGCGCCCTTGACAAGATTCGTCGCGCTAATTATCGTCGACGGCGACGACGATGGAGCAGAGCTGGGGGACGAGGAGAGACGGCGGCAGCGTCAATGGGGGAGCAACCAGAGAGATATACCGGTCGCACTAGCACAGACGAACATGACGAGGGAGTAGGGTCGAGTGGGTCGAAAACAACACCGAGTGGGGGAGAGGAGAGGTGGGGCGAGGCGGAGAAAAGCGGAAGTGCAGGAAAGGGAGATGAAAGAGAGAGGTAAGCAGGCAACGAATTGCTGCCCTCGCCCCATCTTGATCTTCCCTTTCATAGCTTTCGAACGTCTCATTCTGACCGGGGCTACGATCCTGGCACCACCACAAGGTACGGAGATACGCCAATTGGCGCATCGATGCGACCTGGCACCTACGGAAACCGAGCATGTCCTCAACGACGATGAGGAAGCATGGCAGGAAAGCAGACGTCAGCAAGTGCCTCGGGATGTCCAAAACCACGACGAAGGCACCAAGCGACACCAGACGAGGAGTCGTACAACCTCGGAGGCCAGCGTGGAGGACGACAACTAGGCAGAAACAGGAAAATGCAGCGGGGAGGAGACAACGACAACAAGCAGCGCCGCGCTGCTGAAGGTGAGCACCCATCACGGCGAGGAACCTTGCCACTTACCTTTGTATTCCCCCGACAGCGCTCTTCTTGCCCTTCGCATCCCAGAGTCTTACACGTCGATGAGTCGGAATGAAACCCGTGAAGTAATATTCGGATTCGGGCTAAGGCATTCTCTCGACGGCGACGTCGACAATGAGAGAAGAGTCGTCGGGCGCTGAGAGTTGGTGAGATCATTACGATGAACTGGTGTTGGAACGGACCGGAGCTGGATCTCCCACGCGGGTTAGTTTGAGTGCGGCAACCCCGCCCTCGTTTTCCTCAATTTCCTCGACATCCCCCCATTGCGCTCGGCATTCAAGCGGACAGAGTTAAGCTGATACCATAAGAGAGCGCATGTAGAACTCACCATGAACGACCCCTCCAGACACCCGTCACCTCAGTCAGAATACACCTCGAAGTCCGAACATCAATATTTCAAGGACTCGGATGGACAGCTCGACCGTGTACGCTGGAACTCTGAATCAACGCCTGCGCCGTCAGTACGCCTAACGGACAAATAAATGACCAAGTGCGTACCTTATCCTTTGACTCTACGCCGCACAACTAATCCCAAGTGAACACGAACCTAGATCTCAACGCTCGGCCGTCGAATCCCTCAACGTTCAACAGCAGCGCAGGTAAGTGAGTCGCAAACCGATTTATTGCCAGTCTATCTAACGATATTACATTTTGGTTGTCAGTGCAGTGTTCCTACCAGTTACTTCCACGGGTCGCGCGCGAGCTCCCGATGGCGCGGACATGACCACGAACGCCTAGCTATCAAAGCCTCAGCCAATGCAAGCATTGGCTGAGCTTTGATAGCTAGGCAGTGACGTTAGTGAGGACTTTGCGCAAGAAACAAGCTCAACACAAGCTTACCTATCCACTGAGTCTGGGCCTAATGCTGGGTTAGGCCGGACCAATATTATGACTTTTTGGCCCATTCAGGCCCTTTTTCTACTGAAATGTAGACCAGAATCAAGTATAAGGTACACAATAAGTCTTATATGTGTCTGAACTACAAGCGTTAGAGCTTGCGCATGCGAGCTCTAACGCGGACTTACAATTGAATTTGCACTGACACGTACTAACCACTGAGCAGCTTTAGGGATATTAGGGATTATTAGGACTTTAAGGCTTCGGGTTTCAGAACGTTTATTTCAGAGCTCGTTTACGAGCGATTGTCTCGGTGGTTAGGTTAGGTGAGTGGGCAAAGTTATGGACTAAGCATTGCCTACAAGCTAGAAGTGTTAGAGCTCGTTTACGAGCTCTAACACGGACTCACTACTGAATATTCAAGTATCAGCACATATATATGCATCGGAAATCTTAGCTATACACTATCTACAAGCTCATAGCCATTCACCAACACCACCTACTCTTGACACCCCATCATGTGATGAGACTGCGGCCCACATAACAGGGACATTGCAGCGAAGGGATGAGACGGGGAGAGTGAATTGCTGCGAAGGGAGGTAGAGGGAGATAGGGGCTCCCTCAACGAGGGAATGGCTTTAGGGGATTGCGCCGAAGGGAGGCAAAGGGGGTGATGTGATACAGGGGCCCACACCAGTTGGGGATAGCTTTGCGAATGGCAACGAAGGAGAGGCAGGGTGCACGTCATCATGCAGCGACATGCACATGACATAGGGGCCCCCACATGGTTGGGATGGCCTCAGGAATCGCGTCGACGAAGAGGCGAAGGGAGGGATGGGAGATAGGGGCCCCCCACATTGTGGGGGTGGTTGCGGCCATCTCGGCGAAGAGGAAGAGGACAGGGCTGCCATTGGGGCGCAGACATGCATGTCATCACACCGAAAGAGACAGGGGCCCCTCAAGTTGGGGGCGGTTTTGGTAATTGCGGGGGAAGCAGGCAGCAGAGGGAGCGATGGGAGATAGGGGCTCCCCCGGCGAGGGAGTGGTTGCGGTCATCTCGGTCGAAGGAGGGCGCGCGTCAGCGAGACAGCGACATCGCAACCCATCCAGTAGCCGCCAGGCTAATCTACCGCGTGTCAGTGCATATATGCGCATGGACTCAACAGCGACGTACCACGGTAGTGCTACCAGTTGTAGCCTAGTCCTCTGCGCCCTACAGCCCTCCTGTTCTACCCTCCGCCTGCGACTGTACACCCGCTAGTCAATACCCGCGCGTCGCCGATATCGCGTTTGACGTGAATATATGCGCCCGTATGATTCCCCCTTGAGCTTCCTCTGCGAACCACGACTGTGGGTGAGGGCACCAAGGGGGACGTAACGTGGTCGCAAATTTGAAAACGGCGGTAGAGTTAGGGGTTATGGGATTGTTTTTCATATTTCCTAGGGAATTTTTAGGGATGGAATTTTTTCCCTAGGGTAGGGTAAGTGATGGTAGGGAAATGGTGATAGGGAGGACGATAGGGATACAGAGATAGGGAAATGATACGGAGCTGGTGGCAGGGAATATGGTAGGGAAGTAGCAGGGTTCATATGAGAGAGATGGTAGGGAATTGGTGGTAGGGAAAATAGCAGGGATGCATAACACACAGATGCTAGGGGAAAATGTAGAGGAATGGTGGTAGAAAAAACATTAGGGACACAATAGGGTACATGAGAGAACACTGCTAGAAGACTAGTGACAGGGAAAACAGTAGCAAAGGCACTAGCATGAAGCTTAGGAGCAAGGAATGGGGAAACCATTAGGGATGGAGTGAGAAATGGTGCTGAAAATGCCAAAGATGAAAATAGGGATTGATAAGATGTATAGAACAGTTGTGTGGCCGTCTTGGACGACCTGGTGTGTGGTGGGATGCATTGGTGGTGTGGGGAATGTTGTAACAGATTCCATCGATGTATATTATTACAAGACGGAGTCAATGGGTCAGTGCGTGGGAAGACGAAGTGGGTCAGTGCGTGGGATGTGGAATGGGACAGTGCGTGGGAAGGCGGAATGCACATCGGAGCGCTGACAGTTTCGTGGGAAAACGGAAGCAATTTCGGGGCGGTCATAATTTCGTGGGAAAGCGGGTAGACATCAGTCAATAGCGGGTGAGCACTATACGCGCTGCGTGGCCGTCCTCGACGGCCACAAGTGGATCATGAGTAAGTATGGACCAACAAAAACTCAGCATATATGCTGTAGAGTATGTTTCTGACCGTCCAGGACGGCTATACGCAGTGCATGTCAACAGTCAACTCCACAGCAAGCAAGTCAAGTAAGTGGATACACGCAATCACGATTATTTGGCGTGTCGGCGAAGCGACACCGTCAAATCGTCGTGTTTGTCGTGTATTCACTTACTTGACTTGCTGTGGAGTTGACTGCTGAGAATTACTAGAAAATACCTTGTGATCACAGCGGCGACAGGTAAAGTAATAAATAAGTAAAGAGTTGAGAAGAAAGCATCATTTATGGGTTAGTTGAAAGTAGAGATGAGAATGTGACAACTTGAACTTGCCGTCCCGGACGGACAAATGTGGGCACGTTCTTTGTGTGTGCATTATCGTTAATAACCAGCATAATATTCCATCATGTGTGAGTGTGTGTGTGTGCGTGTGTGTACACACAAATACAAAGCTCAAATGAATACAGGGCAAACAAAACGGTGGTCGAAAACTACAAATGTATGTCACGCGTCACGATTACAAATTTATGTCACACGTCATTATGTACAAATTTGGGTCGTCGCAATTGTCATTTTTGTCACGCGTCACATTTACCAATTTGGGTCGTCACAAGTAATATTTATGTCACGCGTCACATTTACCAATTTGGGTCGTCACAATTATTATTTTATTGTCACTCGTCACGATTACTATTCAGTCACGCGTCACGGGCGCTTAGACTATGGAAAAACCGTAGTCGTCTGGTCTTGGGCGCCTAAAGCGCTGACAAATCCCGCCCTTCCTATTTGGGCGAACGGCGCCTCTCTCACTACACCCGTCACCACACATCTTCGCCCTCACCTCATTACCAACAACCACACCATACAACACAACGACTATCACTCTTAACAATGCCATCCCTCTACATTATCTCGACAACTCTCGCTTCGCGTCGTTGCCGAGGACGACGACAACAACTCCAAACAGCAGTAATGACGGCGTTGATCGCCAATCAGGCGACGATCGAGGCAGACGGGAGACACGACTACGAGTCGTTGACTCACTTCGTCATCGTGTAAGTCAATTTCTTTGTCGTTCGCTCTGCGCTAACTTGTTTTAGCGGGGCCCCGCATAACAGCGTCTCAGAGTCACAATCACACGTGACTGTGAGGGGCTACATCGACGACGCCCCCGCCATAACCATTCACGTCAAATTTTCGCGGCGATGGAACGTAAAAGAAGTCAGGACGTTTCGGGGGGGACTGGCTTTGACCGCGTCCGACTTGGATTTTGTTTGGTAAGTAATGTCACATATACCCTTCTATTCATCACTAACGCCTTTTCGCAGTGATATATAGTAGCATTATGTAGCTTCCGATTTTTTGTCGACAGAATTGCTTGTAAAATTCGCGATCGATGTAGCTTCTGACGTCGACCATTACGTAGATGTTGTTTTGGCCCAGGTAAGGTACTAACAAAGATAATTAAAAATCATGCTGACAATGTTATATGTAGGCCACCCATCGCCCTCGACTGCTCGCCAGCCCCGACGCAGATCTCATTCATATAAACGAGCTCTATCACTGTAAGTTCTTCACTTGCTCTACATAATTGACCGTCCAGGACTGACATATTGTTTCATCCTCATTTCGTGCTGCGTTACGCGACGAATAAAAGCACAGGCGTGTCCAACGACACAAATACACGGTGAGTACGTCCACGCCTACTCATTTCGTGCGTGCTGTGTTACGGCGACGAATAATACAAGCAGCGTGTTCAACGACACAAATACACGGTGAGCACGTCCACGTCTATCTTGACCGTCCAGGACTGACAATTTGTGTCATGTTCATTTTGTGCATGCTGTTTTACGCGACGAATAATACAAGCAGCGTGTTCAACGACACAAATACACGGTGAGCACGTCCACGTCTATCTTGACCGTCCAGGACTGACAATTTGTGTCATGTTCATTTTGTGCATGCTGTTTTACGCGACGAATAATACAAGCAGCGTGTCCAACGACACAAATACACGGTGAGTACGTCCACGTCTATCTTGACCGTCCAGGACTGACACATTGTGCTGAGACCTCAGAGATAATGAAAATACTTATTGAGTACTGCGTTTTCGTACACAAAAGTAAAACTAATGACGGGAGGGGAGGGGAGACGACTACGATATCACCACTACTAGCGCCTTTTCTTTGCTTTGAACGGGTTTGTTGGCTTCTTTGTCAGCGCGGGGAGATCTTTGAGCTCGACGTCAGTGCTGTGAGCAGAGAATCTGGTAGGTTGTCGATGTGGCGGCTGTTCAGCGTGTGAATGCAAGACTGCTGTAGAACAAAGTGCACTGAGCCGTCCGTATTGTCATGAGATTAGAGTAACACAAACCTTTGTTCCTAGTGAGGCTTTGGAGAAACGACGGAGGCCTTGGCTGTTCAAACTCATCTGAGTCTTCGTTCGACAGTTCTGAGGGAATTGGCGGTGAAGCGTTAATCCCTCGACCAATTGAGTCTACAGTCTCTTGTGATGAGTGTGGCGCTGCCTCTACCCCAGAATTGAGGTGATCATTGGCCCCAGACCTGAGGGCTTGCAGATTTGCAAGTCGCCCAGCACGAGATCCTTCCGCCTTTCTGCCCAGCTTCGTCTTTCCAAGAGTACTTCCAGGCGTAGGTGAGGTAGGCCTCGGCGAGA